ACACGACGAGCTTATTAAATTGGCGATGTTATACGTGATAGAGGGATATAATAAGAAGTTTTATTGAGATATACAGGAAGATATAGATATATTTAAACTAATATGATACAGCAGGTAGGGAGAATCTAACCGAGAGTAAATAATTTTATGCAGAGTCATTTCAACTAAATATTTCCTACGAAATATCAACGACTGCATACCAAGTTTCAACAATCTGTCTTCATAAGTTGGGTTAGAGCGAAGTAAATGAAATCTTAAACAGACTAATTTCACAAAACGTTTTTGAATTTGTTCGAGTCTATTTATATGTACCAAGTAATACGGTGACCAAATTACGGAATTGTATTCCAGCAAACTCCGTACAAGTGCATAATATAGTACTGAATACGATGAGATCTTTTTAAACGATTTAGTGTTTTTGCACATGAATCCCAATATTTGAGATGATTTTTTTATAATGTGACTACGATCACATTATAAAAAAATCATAAAATAATAAATCACTGTCAAACATCACTCCTACTTCTCTGATTATAGATTTTTGAGATAAAAAAAGTATTGCTTAAAGAATAATCAAAATTAACAGCATTCTTCTTTTTGGTGAATGAAATCACAAAACACTGCCAACATTCAATGACATGCGGTTCTCCTGAGACCATTGGGACAAAACATCTAGATCTCTTTGAAGACTCATTGCATCACTGATGCTTGTTATTGTACTGTAGAGCTTTAAATCATCAGCATATAGTAGACAGGGACATGATAATCGACCAATAAGATCGTTGACAAACACTATAAACAGAAAAGGTCCTAAATGGTGAGCCTTGAGGTACACCAGATGGAAGGGCAAATGCTGAAGAAAGGTCACCTTTTATAGCAACTAGTTGACTTCTTCTATATAAATAACAATTAACCCACCTTAACAAACTTCCATGGACACCGAGTGATTCCAGCTTTCGGAAGAGCAGGGAATGATCAACTCTGTCGAAAGCCTTTGAGTAGTCGGTAAAAATGGAATCTACTTGTGCTCGCTTAGAGAAAGCATCGCATAAATAATTTTTGTATTCCAAAAGATTTGATGTTGTTGACTTACCTTTTAAGAAACCATGTTGTTTTGGTGGCAAAATTGGTTTGAAGTGATTATACAAAGCATCATATAAAAACTTTCGAACAGTTTCGCACAGCAAGGCAATATTCTTATAGGGCGATATTTTTTACAAAGTGATGTATCACCAGACTTGAACATCAGGACAACATGTGGTGTTTGAGTCGGAAACGCACCCGTTTTTAAAGATTTATTGAACAAGATGCATAAAGCAACACTTATAGTCTTAACACATAGCTTCAATAATACTAGAGAGATGCCATCCGCGCCAGATCCCTTAAGCTCATCCAACATCTTAATTTTAGATTGTATATCGCTTTCACTTAATGTTAATTGTATTATTAACATTATTACTCTGCCTCATATCATCCGCAGAAAAAAGAAATTGAGCATCACTATTGCATGAATCAGCGTACACGGAGTTAAAGTATGTAGAAAACAGTTCAAAAATACCCTTTCTATTAGATTATTCATGACCTTCGAATATTATAGTATTTGGAATACAACACGATGTCTTCTTCTTATTGTGAACAAACCACCAAAAGTATTAAGTATTTTTATTTAAAGATTCCTCAACTGATTCCAATTAACTGCTATGACATGAATCGATGAGTCTCTTAAATATAGCACGCAACATCGAAAAGGTATCAGAATCAAGCGGATTTTTATATTTAGTATTAACCATTTAAAAGAAGAAAATAGCAATTATAATTATTATTTTCATCCCACCACCTCGGAAAGTGTAATTTTGCGCTTCGAAATCTGGCTGGAAAATTCTATTTTATTCGCTTGAGCGGCAAAGTAGATTTGAATTTAGAACATCACATATAATGAGTACTCAATATAATTGTAAATTCAAAACGTCATTAAACCTATTTAATGTAACCTCTATGGTGCCAAATTTATGATTAGAACTTTTTAAATTGTGAAAAAATTTAAATTTGGAACCTTCTTGGTTTCTTTGTTTTATTTGCGTGCTTCGCGCCATTCTAGTTTTTCACGTTTTATTGCTTAATATAATTAACATAACCTAAAAACTGTACAAAAAAATCAACTAAAATGAGTGACATTAGCGACGATGAAGTTTATCTAACGCCAACTGAGTTAACTGAAACAGTTAATAATGCGCAAATGAGCCTTCTCCCTCAGCAATCACGAGAGAAGTATTTGAAACAGTACGATATATTTAACATGTGGCGACTAGCTAAAGGAGCAAAAACTTTCTCCGAAAACGTTTTGCTGGCATATTTTATAGAATTATCTGAGACCAAGAAAGCAAGCACGCTATGGAGTACGTATTCAATGCTAAAATTAACAATTAAGATGAAGAAAGACGTTCATATCGACACCTATCATAAATTAGTGGCATTTTTAAAAAGAGCCTCATCTGGTTATAAACCAAAAAAATCGAAGGTTTTCACAGCATCTGAAATTGCAAAGTTTATTAATGAAGCACCTGATTCCGTATATTTAGCGGCAAAAGTAAGTCAATACGTGTAATTTTTTGTTGTTGATAAAATTGTACATAGTACTTACAATATTTTTAATTTGATTAATTTATTTACGATTATAAATACTTCTTTTGTTACAGGTTGTTCTTATTATTGGTATAACCGGAGCATGTCGAACAAATGAACTTACACTACTTAATGTCAATAACGTATCAAAATATTCTCATAATTCTGATGAATTGCTATTAATTAATGTACTAAATACCAAGACAAAAAAAGACCGCAACTTCGTTATTCGCAAGGAATATGTAAACATTGTTCAGAAATATCAAGCTTTACGTCCTTCTAACACCCCAATTGAACGATTTTTTCTACAATATCGCAACGGAAAGTGTATCCGACAACCTATGGGTCAGAATAAAATTGGCAGTATTCCACGAGAAATAGCAACTTTTCTCGGACTTTTAGAACCCCCGTTATACACCGGTCACTGTTTTAGAAGAACCTCAGCCACACTTTTGGCCGAATCAGGGGCTGATCTTCTATCGCTTAAGCGCCATGGAGGCTGGAAGTCTAATTCGGTTGTAGAGGGATACATAGAGGATTCAATCCAAAGTAAATCAAAAATTTGTAATAGTATCGTGGAGGCCATAACGCTGAAAGAACCTCTGTCAGATTCTTGGTCTCGCCCTTCTACATCTAAAATGAGCCCCCATAAGATTGGAAACAATAGCCCTCTCTCGCCAACATTTACGCCAATAGAATCCAATGAATCGGCACAACTATTTAAAATTACTGATACGAGTAGTTTACCACAAAACAGCGCACAATTCACAAACACCAAAATAACATTACCTAACAAAAATATTAAACTTAACATAAGTAACTGTAGCAACGTTACATTTAATATTTCTTAATTATTTTCTACTTCTTATTATTTTCTTCAATTTATAGATTATCTTAATGTGTTTTAATTGAAATAAAAATATTTTGTCATTATAAATTGTTTTCTTTTTCATTTTGTCATTTCCTCGCTGAGGTGGGATGAAAAGTTACGTATTGCACTCGAGTGGAAAGATTTTTCACCTTGTGCTCGTTTGTTTCCCTCGCTGACGCTCAGGATTCTAATTTAGAATCACTCGCTGCGCTCGTGATTCAACTTTAGAATCCTTCGCTTGCTCGGTCATCCAAATCGAGCACGCGGTTAAAAAGGAACTTTCCACTCTTGTATAATAAATAACTATTTTATTATTTAAGCATTTAACTGCTAGATGTTTAATTTGATTTTTTCTGTTTTAATACAAGGTCACCTTAGATTGTGAACCAATTGCGGTGTTCAGCTGGATCAATGCTTAAATTGGTTTGAACATATCCAGCCTCTATCCAACCGTTTGAGGAAATTCATCTACATCGCAAAAAGACTTAGAAATTCTGCGAATTCCTCTATTCTTCACACAGTCTATTATTCCCTAATTGAGTCAATTCTTTCATACAGCGCAGCGAGCGGTCCTTAAGGTTCTTCTCCAAAACAACTCGGGAACTATACAAAGAATTTAATTGTCTTACTGTACGGCAACTGTATATTTTACGTTTAATTCTTCGGTTTCATAAATCTAATCCTGCACCGACCGGTGCTGTTGCCGCAGAAGTTGCTAGACGACCCAAGCAACCTTTCCTTAATGTCATTTGTAAAACCTCATTTGCCCGAAAAAACTACCAATACATGAGCGCTAAATTATATAAAAAAATTTAATTCAATTTTATCCATTCATTCCCATACAATGTATAACTGCAAAATAAAAGTTAGCAAATTGCTGAAAGGTAAGGATAACGAAGAGACGGAGTGTTGAGTAAATAATTAGAACACTTTATTGTGTAATTAAATACGGCAGTAGTTAGTTATTGACGGTTTCTGTTATTTTTAAGTTAATCATACAACCAATGTGCGCACACCGAAATCGCCCACAGTATTTATGTACATAGAGGGGACCCTGTTGCCTGTAATACAGGTTGTATTATACCACTGGCAACAGAAGTCACCTTTAACAATATTGAAGCTCCAATGTGCCTATTGTCACCAATTTTTATCTTATTAATTTAAAAATATTGTAACTTGCTTAAAGTCAATAAACGTTTATTATTATAATTGCATTTTTTCGGCAAACTTAAATGCTTGTAACATTCTAAAGTGAATAAAATGTCATGTCAGTGAATTTGAATACATTCGCTGATGTGAAATATAGAGACAGCTTGATAACTAAAAAAGTATCTGTGTACTTAATAACAGTAACTAAGTTAATAAAATAAAAATATTTTTAAAAACAAACTTTAAAGATATCTGCTCCGAAATTGAGTTGCAAGATTCCTTTCGAACAAACATACTTACATATATTGCAAGTTAAATAAATGCTTTGAAAAATACAATAATTGTATTTTAATTTTACTGGAGTTTATTGGTACAATGAATTCAGTGATTTCCGATTAAAGTCAAAATAAATATGGTAAGGATTTATTTGAAATAATACAACCTTAATTGATTTCTGTTTCTTTATTGTTAGTTGCATTTGTTCACTTAGAGAATTACACGGATATACTAGTTAATCATCATAGTCAGGTTCATTCATAGGTATAATATTTAGAGTTAAGTTAAAAACATACAATTTTATCAGTACCTACTTTTAAATTTCTCACAATATATTTCAACGACACAACGTAAACTTAGCAGAGCTAAATAACACTTTTAATGCACATAATATTCGATTCATCGACAATATATATAAAAGAGCTAATATAGCACTGAAAACAATGGCCACGGACGCCACACAAATGATACGATATAAATGCCACCGAGCTTATGAAATCGATCCGTAATAAACATTCGCGCCGACACCACGAATGCATATAAGTACCCGAACGGAAAATTCGTTGCTTAAATAAAGCGAAGATTTTACTTACACACCTAAAGAATTAATAAAGCAAAATAAAATGGCAGTGGTGTACGACGATATCTTAAAGGGGCCATTCAAGTCGAAACGGTCGCACAGACTGGCGATAAGTATTTCAGCGGACCGGCGACATGGCCTCGGTCGTTCGGTCCTCTCTACCACCGATCTACTCGAACAGGAGCTCTATTTTTGAAACACTCGTCTGACATAGTATCGTCGAATGCGACATAAGTCACCTTCGACTTTCAAGTCGCATAATACTGATTTTCCGTATTTTTGAATCACTCGCCACCAATGTTACCTGTTTGATACGAAATACGAAATTTTACTCATTTCACGCAGAAATAATAAAAACCGGTAATTACTACTACTCTTTGTCGTTTCATATAAAGCATGACAATGATAAATTATCGTCGTCTAATAGCACAAAAGAATTGACAATTATTCAATCGTTCGCCTCCACCGTTCGCCAGACAGCGAGTGGTCTCACCCATTCGTTGCACTCGAGCGATTCAAAAATACGGAATTAGTTATGTCGAATGAAAGGACACCCGGCATTTTGTGCCAAAGTTGTATACTTTTTAATTTTTTTATCTGTGTTTCATAATTGGGTAACGCAGTCTGGCAATATTTGTCATCAGCAGCTAGCTGTCAATGTCAAATACGTAGGTTTGTCATCAAAAGGGTTTCTATATCAAAAAAATATTAATCATTAAATAACTTCTTTCCACGATTCACTAAAAATAAGGCAAAAGTAGTTTTATGTAGCAAATAATTTTGGCTTTATTTTGATACCAAATTCAACTATATACAAGTTTAGCATTTTTTCTATGAAAAGTGCCGGGTCTCCTTTAGTAGATATCGAGCGTTGGACGCAAGCGAGTGATTCAAAAATAGAGCTCCAGGTCGCATACGGCCGGAATCCGTGCGACTGTCGCAACGTGCATGGCGACCCTTAATCCTGGTTACATTTTGGCACATGATCCGCGTGTGCGTCCGCGCCGGGCCTGTGGCGCGCGCTGACGAGAGCGAAACCAACGGGAACTGACGAGCGCTGCCGGTGCTTTTGTAGTAAAAAAATATACATTATGTAATGAAAACTACTCCGCGACCGATCTTACCGGAGGAATTGTAAAATTTGAAGTATAATTAGTAAATATTTCGCCTAACTACATACGGTTTATTCGCGATATAATCAATCTTTATGGCACCATTCTTCGCCCCGACGCGCGCCGCGGGGACGCGCGCCGGGAACCCGTCCGAACTTCATAAACGTTAACCTTAAAACGTTAATTATTTAACAGTTATCTAATAATTAAGCTATTCGTATTGTCCCAATTGTGAAATATACTTAAATCTAAACAGTTTACATTTTAATTTAATATCGATTAAAATGTAACGATCGGAGAATAATAAAAGTTATTTTCCATTAACAACGTGAGACCCGATGCTGAACGAATGGATGTTACACTTAAGAAACACTTAGCTTGTATTTTACAATTGACAGTTGGTTTTTTTGGAACTTTCGAACGACTAAGTAAATATAGAGAATGTATTATGTTGCAGAATTGAACTCGACTCCGGATCCCGAATTCTTCTCCTCACGGTCTTGAGCTGGAAACAAATAAATAAATTTTGATTAGTTCGCCCCTAGATTTATCTATTCTCTTAGATATTAGTCTTAAAGTATGCATATAAAACACTAACCAAGTTAAAACATATTTACGTTTCGTTTCGATCGAACTCATTAAATGATATGATCATAACTCTACCAAACCGAACTTCAAATTCACTATTCTTAAATTGAAGGCAACATCTACTACTACAATTACTAAGGGCAACGAGGTCTTAAACTAGTGATGGGATTTCAGTTGCTTTTCACTCGAGTGACTCGAGTAGTTTTTTATATTACTCGCACTCAAGTTAAATTTTTGACAACTCAAGTTTCGATCGACTAGAATTACGAGTGACTCGAGTTGACTCGTACCACTCGAGTGGTTTATACAGAGCCGAGTGAGAAATTCAAGTTATGACAAGTTTACCCGCTGTAAGAAAGAGAACCTCTTTGAAATTACGTAGAAATATGTTTGTGTGGGTTATTACTGTCATAAATAACCAAATTATGACTGTGTGTTATTAGTAAGTGGTGAAAATGAGTAAAAGCGTAAAAAAGCATTTGTATGGTAATTTTTCGACAAAAAATTAGTACAAAAAACCGCTATTTGTAAGTTTTGCAAAAAAGTTACAATTTTGGTAATACAACTAACTTGTTTTCTCACATGAAAAATAAACATCCAGTTCAGTACCAGGATAGCAGTGATGAATGTAGTTCGTCACAAGCATGTGAAGAAAATTCATCTGTTTACGTTTGAAAATTTTGGTCACTCGAGTTTTATATTCCGAGTGACTCGAGTCAATAAAAATCACTCGAGTGGTAAAGTTACCAGTATCGAGTGACTCGAGTGAAAAGAAATCGCTAAGGTCCCATCACTATATTAAACTATAACATACCTGGCAGTCCTTAAAACGTGCGCATGTACTTGGAATTAACAATCTAGAGGAATCGCACCAGGTATAGGGTGGGGGTGAGCGCTAAGCAGAGACTCGGCCTCAGCCGGGAGGGGTCGGAGTTGAGGTGGTACCGGGGGGGAGGGGACTGGAACATCTCTATCTCCTCAAAGAACGGGTAAACGTCCAAGAACATCGCACTGGAGATCCGAGCGGCGTGAAAGTTAGTACAAGCATATTAGTATATAGGTACTTACCTAGCATACTGACCATGGAATTGCGGTTTATAAGAATGACAATGGCAAAAATAGTTCTCCGATGGGGTGATAAATTATGTCTAGAGGAAATAAATTGCGCTACAGGTAGTTCGATGAGTATGCTAGGCGCAGAGATACATACTTATATAACTATAGTGTTTACAATAATATATATATATATATATATAAGTAGACAACTTCATGCCAATCCGATCTGGGGTTGACTGAAACCCCATTCTGGACTTGTGAACTCATTCCCGAATTTTGCAGTTACAGTTGGTATTTTACAAAAAGTTTACAAATTCTTGGCAAGCGTCAATTAGCAAATACATGAACAAGCTATGTTAGTTAGCTTGCAAGCGATGGTATGTTATACTTCATTATAACAGATAACATTAAAAAAAGAAGCTGCAAGAAGCAGGGTTTCGGTACCTAAAACCTTAATAAACCGGTTTTATTCAGAGCCACACGTGCACGCGTCGGCATCGCTTGAAGTTTGCTTTGTTTGAACCAATCAAGTCACAACTTGTTAATGCTCAGAGATTGATGCATTTATTGACACGTTTGCTAGTGTCTAGTGAGTCAAGTTATTCATTTTGTAGTTGCGTTTTTATTTCAGCCGTCACAGCAAGAGCGAAACGAAACCCTTTAAAACCGGTTAATTGATTCAAAACCTGTTTGATTTTTTTATATATTTGAGTTTTTTAAGGTTAAGGTAGAGCTAAACCTAAATAAAACGCTCCTAATGTACTTGACACTGATTTAGGTTTAAAAATTAACCTGTAAACCAGCCCTGGGGAGAATGAGATATCGTCCGATCAATTGGCAGTAGAGTGTGGAGGAGGAGCAGCTGGCTAAAGGACACTCCGTCCATCCGTTTGCGTGCAGTCAGAAGGCAGGTTGCATACTCGCAGTGTGGGTGGGACTGGGTACATACTCGCAGTGTGGGTGGGACTGGGTACATACTCGCAGTGTGGGTGGGACTGGGTACATACTCGCAGTGTGGGTGGGAGTGGGTACATACTCGCAGTGTGGGTGGGACTGGGTACATACTCGCAGTGTGGGTGGGAGTGGGTACATACTCTATGTGTGTGTGGGAGTGGGTACATACTCTATGTGTGTGTGGGAGTGGGTACATACTTCCTGCACCGCTGCGTGTTGCGGCCGGCGACGGCGGTGCGGCCGAGGTGGATGCCGCGGTCGGCCCCCATGAGCTCCACCTGCTCCACGCACCCGTTCAGGCCCGAGTACCGGTTCACGTTCAACGCGCTGGGTATGCCACCTGAACCAAACGATGCCGTTTCATTAATCACATTCCATGGGTAGGTTTCAGTAAATCCCCACACATTTACTGAAACATAGGGAAAGGGGGATTGACTTGACTGCCACTTACTTTGACTTGACTAATATTTTGACCACGAATGCTATAGAATTTATTAACATTTTACACTTGACATTGGCTAAATGCACAAATCGTGCGATGCCGTAAAGAAAAAAATAATAATACTACACTCCATTAGGCGCCTAGGAGCTCGAAGGCGCGAGCGGTTAGCGCGTGCGGCTGCGATCATTGAAGCTAAGCAACCTTCGCAGTGGTCGGTCATTGGATAGGTGACCAAAAATCCTCTATCTCAAGTTCCTCCGTGCTTCGGAAGGCACGTTGAGCCGTGGGTCCCGGTTGCATCTGCAGTCGTTAGCACTCGCCAATACGCACTTGGCCTGCGTGGTGGGTCATGGCCTAATCTCCCTATTCCATCCATAGGCAAGGCCTGTGCCCCAACAGTGGGGACAATAATAGGCTGATGATGAAAGAATCGCGTCATGAATATCGTTGTCGAACGTCATACGACGCAGTCTTTCAGTGGCCAGTCGGAATAGTCGACCACTCGTGTAGATTACCTAATTATAGAAATGCAGATTGGCAGCATTTCCTCGTTAGTCACTAGTGCCTTAACTTGACAACTAGTAGGTACAGTTAAATATGCGAAAATAATAATATATAAAATTATCAAACCGAATACCAAAAATACAAAAGTAAGAAAATTAATTCGGAAGCATTAAAATACATTTTTTTATGCTACATAGTCGGAACAATAATCACTACATAGTATAAAGGAAAGCCGTTGCCCGCTGTCTGTCCCTATGTATGCTGAGATTATTAAAACTACGCAACGGATTTTGATGCGGTTTTTTTAATAGATAGATTGATTCAAGATGAAGGTTTATATGTATAATACATGCATAATATAGTAGAGAAACACTTTAATGTAAGGTCGTAAATAAACACATTCTTTGCGCTTACATTGCAAACTCGCTGAACCCTACGAGATAGATCAAAATAATGTACTACGGTATTGTACCTCTATCATCCTTATCCAATTAAGTACCTTAAATACATTGTGCATTTAATATAGATCAATTTGGCCCTCTACAGCGTGTTATTGAAACATATATTTTAAATCTGTAAGATATTACAGATTTAAAATGCAGGGACTTAGCGGTTCTGGTGGTAACGGGCGGGCGGCCGGTGCGTACCTATTGTAATTAGGTATTAGAAGAATTTAATTGTGTATAATATAAATCTGATAAAAAACACTATAGTCTATACTACAGCTTTACACCTAAGCGAAGCGAGGGCGGGCCACTAATAATACTATAAAATGTATCTAAGTACCTATACTTTTTTAAGCGTATCATAAAGTGTGTCTCGATTTTAGAGCATATATCAATTGGTATAATGCTATTGGTATATGCTCTATACTGTAGATAGTTGTGCTCAACTACATAATATAATTTGAATTAATTGAGTAAACTAACAAATCAATGAAGTCACGAAGAAATTAATTACAGTTTTCCGCTGTTTCGTTAGACAGTCGCCAAAGATTTACAATTAAACTCGGACAAAAGACAACATAATTAGGTTATCCGTAACAAAAGTAAATTATCCACGAATTACTTGTAAACTGTTCTGGGAAACCATTGAGTGATGGTCGTCTGGATGGCACGTGTCGGGTCACGTGGGCACAGGACAGCGGCACAATGTCCCACGTCCTCGACAACACCAAACCGAACCCATTATAATGTATCGCCGATTTTTGACGTGACAACGTCTTAAATTAGGTTGCGGCTGGGAGTCACTTATGAAAAAGTGTAACGCTCGGTAACGTTACGATGAGTCTCGTAGCATGCTGGAACCCCGTAGCCGTGTAGCAAGTTTGCTACGAATCGTCGTAGCGTGGTTGCATGCTACGATGGTATTCACAAGCACAATGCATTGTAATATGTTTTTTTGACGTATTATATATATTTCTATAGTTAAAATTCGTGCAATTCTTATTTTCATTCAATTCCTTGTTCCTATTGTGCAATTTAATTATATTCATATCAATAAATATTCTACCGAGAAAAAGACGTTGTCACGTAAAATCTTCGCCCGTAAAACCGACTTTACAGGCAACCATTTTTTTTAACTCTCCGTAAAACTTCTTTACGTTACGGCCTCCTTGTTTAGGTAAACTCTTTGCTCTTGCGATGCCTACGGTTGGCAGTTATATTAAAAAGTTAATGTCATGATTTTATGATTTGAAATAAGGAATCATCTGTCTTTTGATAGAAGGTTCCATACAGGAGACGATCTTCAGGCACCAACCCTTGCGTAGCTTAGATAAAAAAGGACAATGTTAAAATTGGCCTAAGAACCAACACCAATTTGGCATTTATGATAGTTCTTAGTATATTTTTTGCGATAATTATCAGTATTTAGATTGTGACGGACACTTCCAGTTAAGTAAGCTAAATTAAAAAGTTAAAAAATAATCTGAGACAATAAATACCATTTTATGTGTATAATCTATGGCAGCGCTGCAAACAAAACACTCGTTCTTCCTAATGCCGGCACTTTACTTGGCTATTCATATTTGCTATTTTAAAACATGACATCAGTCTGTCCTTTTTATTCCTTATTAAGCATGACAAGGACAAACTGTTGTCAAGTGAAGGGCCGGCATAAAACTTGTTACTCTGTGGTTGTGGTGCATGCAGTTTGCATTCGAAGTAATCTGTGGCATTCGTGTATTCCTATACTTACTTTACTCTTTGGTGCATTCCAAAGAGTAGTTTAATATACCGGAATGTGCATTCTCGTTTCGGATTACCTGTTGTGTGTGTTTATTTGCGATTGTTTTTCCTTTAATTTAACTATTTCGGCTATCTAATATGCCATCGATGTTACCAAAGAGCAGAGCCCTTATTACCAAGTGCTAGTGAATTTGTGCCACAACATCCTGAGAGGATCATACTGCCAAATTATTCAAGAACATCTAATATACATTCACGCTGCTTAATTACACAATATACATGTGATATACAAATAAATACAATAAACAATATGATACAATTATGTGAAAAATAGTCAATAAATAAGAAGCAAAACTACAGTTTTTATTTTATTCATGATTTCTTCCTAACCAAGTTTTTCCTAATAGTTATTCTTTAAAATCGCACCGAATAAAAGGAATTAGTTGTAATATTAATTCACTTCATACTGAGTTCATACTAAATTCATAGGTTGACCTATGTTTCAATGAATATTAAACATAACCTCAAAAAATTTTAGTTTTCCTTATAATTTAAGATCTCAGAAGTGTCCGTCAATAATCTTTGTTTTTACAGTCATTTACTTACGATGTTGAACCTAGAAAATAATATTTCATGATTGTTGGTTCTTAGGCTAACTATGTATGGATGCTGAACAATGTCCTTTATATTCGCCTGAGATCAAATAAAACTAATTTAAAAGTCCAGTATCTTTTAATAAGTTGTTACGCCCCTGGGTTCTATCCACTCTGGCTAGAACTCCGCAGTACCTTCCCTACCTATCTAATGAAGCGGGAATGGCTATGTTCACTCTCGCATTGTTATACCGTTTTTAAATCTCATCCGCCCCCGATACACGTAACATCATCCTTACATACACACTCGTACATCTTTTTTGTTTCTTAGGTTTTCACGCACATCACTCATTAAATAAAACTAGTTTTAACCGGTTAATGCACGAACTGGAAAGGCTGCGAAACGTCAATAAATAAATAAAGTTTGTACATTGTTAAAACTAGTTTTATTTAATACCTACATCTTTTAATTTTATTTTTATCTTTTTGGTAGAAAAATATTAATGATTATTCTTGTGGTTTATTATTGTATAATTGCTATTATATATTGTTATCGATACGAAAATAAAGTAACAAAAATACGTTTGTGAAAAACAAGTTTGTTGTTGTGCAAGAAAGCACCATGTATATAACATTTGATTTTATATATGAAATATAGTGATTGTGTGGAGTAATTAAAAAGTTCCTAAATTAAAAATAATACGATTAACCCAACTGCATAAAAAAAAATTTAGATAATAACTAAAAAGAGAAAAGCAAAAGTAGTCTTTTATATGACGACCTCCGTGGTCAAGTGGTTTGTACGCCGGGTTTCATGGTGTCGCCGACTCGAGAGGTCCCGGGTTCGAATCCCGGTGGGGGCAGATGTTTGTGTGATGAATACGAGCATTTGTACTCCAGTCATGGATGTTTAATATGTATTTCTATATAAATATACACTTATATATGTACTGTATATGTATTCTATCCGTTACCCTGCCTTATCCCATAACACAAGCCTTACAGTGCTTACTTTGGGGCTAGGCTAATTGGTGTGAGTGTCGGAAATATTTATTTATTATTTATTTATTTATTATAATTCTGTTATGTATGGTACTTTAACAGTCGGGACCTATTATTGGGAAAATTTTGTCCATTGTAAATATCTATGTAATGTGTTCCGCCTGTTAAAATAGGTTTGTTCCTTACTTGACGGAATTCTGGTCTGATGACTTATTTTTTTTCCTTTCAGATTTTTATTTAAACTTAATTTTTATGCAGTCGGATTTCATACTTTAAAGTTTATTACATTTAAATTCAATTCTTTTATTGCATAGTTACATGGTTAAAAGATGACAATTTAGTTACATAGTTCATTTTTTTTCAACATTATAGTTTTTTTTATTTATAAGTAAGTCGTTAATTTATTTATATTTTCTGAATTGTTTTTATAACCCTTCACTTCGTTATACCACTTAATGGGTTATAAGCATTTTTTTTTCAAGTGGCATCTGACTATGAATATAGCCAGCGGTTTTACTATTCTGACAGAAAAAAAACACTTTTTTTTTATGACTTAATTATCAAGATCCCTTAGGTCCCAATAAGATTTATTTAACTTTAATAAATTTATCTAGACCCTTTAAAAACATACATTAGAAAATTGCTTTTTGTTTATTGCCAAGCTTTTGCCAAGTGATCGAAAACGCCTAGGATTAGTCGAGCCTAAACTGACGTCACACGCTTGCTGTGGAATTGACATTACTTTGTACTGCTTAACGTTGCGATGATGTGGCATATTTGCAACCAGAATCTTGAGTTTCATAAAAAATACACAACAGAATGATATATACATATATTTTTTTAGGGATCCCTTTTTAAATAAACATTGAGATTTTTTAATCAAATACCCATAGTAAACAGCTTACATAGGTATACTTTCAATACGAAATTTTCAAAAAAAGGTAAATTTAAAAAATCAAAAAACCCGACTGCTTAATTATTCTTCAAATAAAAACTGAAAAGAAAAAAACAAGTCCAGTAGGCTATAATTCTGTTAATAAGGAACAAAGCTACTTTAACAGTCGGGACCCATTAGATATTCAAGAATACATAATATTTTTCAACAATGGGTCCCGACTGTTAAAGTAGCTTTGTTTCTTATTAACAGAATTATAGCCTACTGGACTTGTTTTTTTCTTTTCAGTTTTTATTTGAAGAATAATTAAGCAGTCGGGTTTTTTGATTTTTTAAATTTACCTTTTTTATTTCACACTTTTTAGTTAGTATTTTAAGACGGTATATACCGTAGTCTTGTTACTTCAGTAAGGGAATTAATATCGCGGGAATTATTAAGTACCTTGCGTCGGTCTAAAAGATTGATTTATTAAGACATATAAAGACTTTACCAGCGGGGTCAAGGCTACAGATGGGCCTCAATTTTCGCAAAAATGTGTGAAGTTAAATCAAGTCGTTACATAAATATCTCTAATGTATGTAAATTTTATAGTAAACTAGCACTTACTCAAAAAGTCATCTTTTGCTTATGTTTTTTTAATCGTTTAGCAGTAAATACAAAATTCATTTACATTTATTCGTCGACTATTTAAAAATGGCAGTGGCTGCATTGTCATGTCAATGCCGGACGTCTAAGATTGTGATATACACAAATTCAGTGTCAGTCCCTAGTCTCATAATTTGATATACCTACATAATTCACAGATACCCAATATGTAGATGCCAGAAGTTAACTTCAAATGTTTTTAATCATCCTATATACAATACCAATCAATGACGTTTATGTCGCAGGTTGAAGAAAGAAGTAATTCCCGTCTGTTGTTTTGGACAATGGTGGCAACTGCCTTAGATCGCTAAATTAAATAATTATGCAATCACCAAAGCAAAGTTTATAATATTTGATTAAACTAAAGGCGCATAATAGAATTTTCATAACGTTAGGTTATTGGTAGTGTAAAGCTCGAATGAAGAGTACTCCCAGTAGTGCAATCATGGCAATTATTTTCCAAATTTTTTTTTGTTATAAAAATCACTGTTAAGCCCAAATGCTAAGTAACTTTTACAAATATAATCAAATAAACCTATTACTTACTTTATTTTAAAATCTTTTTCAGCAATTAAATACTTATCTTATCCTAACTATCTATACTAATATTATGAAGAGGCAAGATTTGTATGTTTGTAACAAAGAATCTGTCAAACTACTGAACCGGTTTCAAATATTAATTCATCATAAGGTAGCTACATTATTTATTATAACATTTTTCTTTATTTAAATACATTTTGTCCGAGTGCCATAGGCTATATTTTATCCCGATAAATAAATTTCGCCCGTACAATGCCCGGGTGGATCACTAGTAAGTATAATATAATATTATAGATGCGAAAGTGAGTTTGTTTGTTGCTGCGCTTCCGTGCCCTAATAGCTAAATCGAATATAATGAATTCTCATATAGAAGTAGATGGGAACTTGGTTCTTAGCTACAACATCGCAATACTTATAGGCGTAGGGTGATGAAAGGGGTGATTTACCTATAAAAATCTACATTATTTACTTTGAATTTTGCAGAATTATTACAAAACCAATATTATCGCGAGCCGATTAATAAATACAGCGATTCCAATAAGTATGTACTTACTAGCGAAAAATGGGTTATTTGTCAATATATTAAGTAAACCTTTTTTGTAACCTTAAGTAATATCGTTAAAAAAAATGAAAAACAGTAAAATTCTGAGTTTTTCATTAAATTTCAATAATCATAAATACCTATTATGATTATATATTTTTCATCATTTAATAAGAAGGAACTGTATCACAGTTTTATTGTTAGTGCTTCGTATAGGATCAGATACTGCGAATACCCCTTTTTTTTCTTTTACATAGTACAACGCGTCATCACTTTGTCATCGTTGTAACTTTTTAAATATTTGTCGAAATGACATAGTATAATAAGCAAAGTTTATCGTCTTTAAATATCAAAAGCGATTAAAGTATTTGTTTTGATAAAAAATGATTTGTTAATACAAAATGTGCATTTTGATAATAGATATCAAATAATATTTTAGTTTTGATTCACTATTTTAGCGGTAACGACTTACACATTAAAAATAGATATATGATTATAATTTTTATTATTTTTAAAGCATGTAACTGCTTGATGTTTAAATCTAAAGATGTTTGATGTTTGATGTTTAAATGGTCAGTGCATTCGCCCGGATTGCGAAGGGTGCGGGTTCGAGTCCCGTCTGCTGCCTGGTCCGCGTGGAATTTTTTCTAGTTATATTTTCTTTAGATTTAAACATCAAGCAGTTACATGCTTTAAAAATAATAAAAATTATAACTATAGTTGCTATTTCTTCTTTCAAATGTTTAATACTTGTAAAAGTATTCATTTGACATTGTGGGTTTACCTATAATGCGAAGAGATGGCGCTGCCTTGCAGCTTAAGAATAGCTAGAAAGAATTTCGACGCGGTCCGTGAGGGCCGCGGTAGCATAATTGGTCAGTGCATTCGCCCGGATTGCGAAGGGTGCGGGTTCGAGTCCCGTCTGCTGCCTGGTCCGCGTGGAATTTTTTCTAGTTATATTTTCTTTAGATATATGATGTCACGGACTTTTTTTTAGAACTATTTAAGAGATACATTTCCACTCTACATTACATTCATGTAACTTTTATTGTTTTTGCAGTGCAGGCCAAAATGGCTCGCAGATGGGACATTTTTTTCCGGCTTATGTGACACTTATTGCTATATATTGGCCAATTCAGTCAATAACTACATAAATTATTATATATATGTAATTATCATATGTGAGCTATATTACTGTTAAGTTTCATTAAAATCCATTCAGTATTTTTTAGGTGAAAGAGTAACAAAGATCCATACAAACGTAAGATTGAAATTAAAAGCGTAAGTGGTTAATATACAACTTTAAAGCGTTGTAGATCCTAAACAATCATATAAAATGAAAAATGGTGTTAGGAACCTAAATATGATTTTCGATTATCTAGACAGTGATACCCCACTCGACATATTTTGTCAACTTTTTTTTTTTACTTCGTCACAATATGGCGCCTAATTTTGCCCATATTGAATTTTGATTACTATCATATCTTTAGTAGCACTTCCATGATTGAGACGAAGCGATTGATGTATGAATCATCAAAATCGGTCCAGGCGTTTGGTCTCTAGTGTGCCACAAAGGAACAAACATACATATATAGACTGTTAAACACATAACCCTGTCTGCGCGTCGCGCTTCGCGCTCTTGCATTGCGCAGCCGGGTAAAAAAATACTCGCTTATCTTACGCACAGTGATAATACCACATCGGGTATACCTAACAAAAATTATTTAAAATTAACACATTTAATTTTGACGTACATAATAATGTTAACACGATAGAGCTGTGCATAATATCATCATATACCTTGTTCATTAGAATAGGCAAATAGCTAGCACTGATATTATTTTTGCCCTTGTAAGGCTTGTGTTATGGGATGCTAGGGTAACGAATAGAATACATATACTGTACATATATAATTATATAATTTAAAGAAATACATATTAAACATTCATGACTGGAGTACAAATGTTCGTATTCATCACACAAACATCTACCCCCACCGGGATTAGAACCCGGGACCTGTCGAGTCGGCGACACCATGAAACCCGGCGTACAAACTGCTCGGCCGCGGAAGTCGTCATAGATTTGAGTGTTCAGACAACATAATGCGAACATTGTACTCCACTCTGCTAAATTATCAGGTACGGAGAGCGAGGGAAAGAGGCGGCTACATAACCGACATGCATTTGAATATCACAAATATTTTGTATGAAACGGTATCGTTTTCGAGTCCGAAATGTCGTTGTCAAATGTGTACTGTACCCCTAGCACGAACCAATATCGAATTCGTATCGTTTGCGAGTCCCAAATGTCATTGTCAAATGTGTACTGATTTTTAGTTCTCGTTACGAACTTTGTGCCACTGCTGTTCAAGTTTCCATACAAAATTTGACATTGTAAGTTCGGTTTGCAAACTATTCGAATTCGATAATGGTTCGTGCTAGGGGTTACAGTTTATAGTTAGTTTTGAACAAAAATTGTTTCAAATCAAACATTTAGTAAACAAATATTGATTGGATACCTGTCAAAAAATGACACTACCTACTTTAAGTTCCTATTATTCTCGCATTTGTACGCGGAGTTCATGTTAACTTTTGAACGGTCTGCACGTGACTGAACCAAGAAGTACTTGATTGGTGATCAAGCACTTCTTGATTAGACACATTATAATATTGGTGTAGACAACACAGAATACACGAATACACAAGGGAGAAAACCGGAAAAATAACCAAACGGGCTCAACTTCGATGAAACTGCGCTAATAATGGCAGCGGATGCGGCCAGGGCTATTGTTTTAAACTTTTCGGCTTTCCGTTGCAACCTTTATTGATATTAGTAATGTTCGAGAGCACATTTACAAAATGCATAAAATCGACGCTGAATGTTGACTTACCGATGTAAATGTTTGAGTTGGCGTCGACTCGGTTCGAGAAGCCGGCCGAAGTTCCATTTTTGCTAGTACTATCCACAGTCAGTGAAACGTAGTATTCAGAGAATTTGGCGATCACCTGCGGACAAAATAGATTGTTGTCAAAATACGTAATAAACCTTATTATTACACCTCTTATAACTACGATGTCCATTACTAGACTCGACACCATGAGTCTAGTAAATAAATAATAAATAAAATATTTCCGCCACTCACACCAATTAGCCTAGCCCCAAAGTAAGCACTGTAAGGCTTGTGTTATGGGATGCTAGGGTAACGGATAGAATACATATACTGTACATATATAAGTATATTTATATAAATACATATTAAACATCCATGACTGGAGTACAAATGCTCGTATTCATCACACAAACATCTGCCCCCACCGGGATTCGAACCCGGGACCTCTCGAGTCGGCGACAGCCATGAAACCCGGCGTACAAACCACTCGGCCACGGAGGTCGTCAGTAGTAATAGTAATGGACATCGTACTTCTATTAATAATAAATCGTGCATAATAATGAAGGCTCAGCAGATTGTATGCATTGAAAAATTGTATAGTAATTGCGCTGCCTTGCAGCTTAACGCTAGGAAAATTTCGACGCGGCTAATGGGGGCGTGGTAGCATAATGGTCAGTGCATTCGCCCGGATTGCGAAGGATGCGGGTTCGAGTCCCGTCCGCTGCCTGGTCCGCGTGGATTTTTTCTAGTAAACTTTTCTTTAGATTTAAACATCTAGCAGTTAAATGCTTAAAAATAAATAAAATCATAATTGTATAGTAACTTTGTATAGTTGCCATCTCACAGGAAGACTGCAGCGAAATTGCATTATTTTTTAGCTCCAGTTAAGTTTTACTTCAACAAGATGACAGGACTACTGAGCTCCATTGCGTACACAAGAGATTAGAGTAGGATATTCAGTGCTACCAACATTTGTGGCACTTTTATGACATTGACAGGAGGGCGCCGTAACTAAGAGAATCTTATAAATTATAATAACTCGTAAAGAGTACATAATAGCAGGGCTTGTTTACCGGTTAATTTTCAAACCTAAATCAGTGTCAAGTACATTAGGAGCGTTTTATTTAGGTTTGGCTCTACCCTAACCATAAATAAACCGGTATTCCTAAAAAGCGAAATCAAATAAGTTTTGAATCAATTTAGCGGTTTTTAAAAGGTTTCATTTCGCTCTTACTGACGGCTGAACAAAATACACAACTACAAAATGAATAACTTGACTCACTAGGCGCTAGCAAACGTGTCAATAAATGCATCGATCGCTGATCATTAACAAGTTGTGACTTGATTAGTTCGAACAAAACAAACTTCAAGCGATGCCGACGCGTGCACGTGTCAATCTGGATTAAACCGGTTTATTAAGGTTTTAGGTACCGCTTTCATTTCGGACGCGCTCCGAACGAAACCTTTACTAAAAACCGGTATTAACCTTTATTTACCGGTATTTTTGAAACCGGTTTCAAGCCCTGCATAATAGAAAATATAAAAAGCTTATTTGCACCTTTCTCTGTACATAAAAGGCTAATTTATACCTTAGTTCTGATTTCGGCCACGCCCCACAATATCTCGTCTCAACTGAGATTAAAACCTGGTGTTCAATAAAGTACATTCACAAACGTAATTACCGTGTGTCTGTCGCCGTCGGTGACGTAGACGTCCTCGATGGTGAGAGTGGACTGGCCGCTGCCCAGATCCCAGTCCAACACCACCACGCCGTTCTCAACTGTTCAACAACAATACAATACTGTTAGAGAAACGAATGCCTATTGACACATTTCGATTAAACTTCTTGAAAACATAAGTTAAGGGACGCCTCCTTTATGTCGTAAGTGAGCGGTCAGTGTAGATTTTCAAATAATTAATTTGGTACAGGATAAACGAGCAACATGTTTCTTTGTTGTAATATTTCATTATTAGTAAGAAGTCTGGCGATCACATGATCTAGATGATTTCCGATCATCTAGCAGCCTTTTAAAATTTTGTAAGTGGTAGACAGTACCAGCATCTTATAGGTAGCATAAACAACCGTTCTGTTGTATATAAAATCCGTCTATTCTATAACGCACATATCATGACTTTGTATACTGTAGAACCGGGAAGAAACTACTTTAATCACATAGCTGTATGTAAGAAATCATCATAGTACGTCACTGTATCTATCTATATATATAAAACTCAAAGGTGACCGACTGACATAGTGATCTATCAACGCACAGCCCAAACCACCGGACGGATCGGGCTGAAATTTGGCATGCAGGTAGATGATATGACGTAGGCATCCTCTAAGAAAGGATTTTGTTCAATTTCACCCCGAGGCGAAGCGAGGGCGAGCCACTAGTTATGTATATAGTTTCACACATATTTTCATAACAAATCAATGCTCACCATGGATTCAACAGTATCAGTAGGTTTTTAATATCATTATGTAGGGGGGTCATCCTCTAATATCTCTCTACTAGCAAACCGGTGAACCAAATGTTCATCAAAACCTGATTTAAAAAAAATGTATTTAATTAATCGAGAACTTCGGAGATTTTGTGTGGTTTCGTTTGAAATTCGTGATTCGAAGTGCTACGTTACTCAAATCCGGTCTGTAGTCTCATCAGACTATTCTTAACTCATAACTTAAACATTCTCTTTATCTATCTCTTACGGTTTGGCCGCTGAAACAGCATCACAGCAGACGGACGGACTTGTCTAATAGATAAGAGATTAGCATAGTTGCAAAGCGAGCGGCGATCCTGCGATCGGTCCTCACCTTTGAGCAGGACGTAGTCCGCGTTGACCGGCTGCTGCACCTCTCGCTGGTAGAGCAGCACGCCGTCGCCGTTGGTGTTGAAGGCCATCACGATCTGCGCCGCCTCCCGCTCCAGGTTGTCGTAGCGCAGCAGCTGCGCCGGCAGCTCCAGGTATCCGTTGCCGTTGAAACCCACGCTTTGGAACAACTCCAGCGCTGCGACACGAGTGGGAAGTTAGGAAGTTGGCGATGTTCGGGGCGCCGTCGAGGAGAGCTCGGATAAACCAGACACGAGTGGGACGTTAGCGATGTTCGGGGCGCCATTGAGTAGAGTCTAGATAGACTAGAAATTATCTGGGAGTGGAGAATGTTACCGCTTTTATATTTAAACAATATATGGGCTTTTTTAGAATCGGTTCGTCTATAAGTGTTTATTCGTTTATTTGTGCATTTGTGATTTGTTCAAACGATTATGTGCGCGTGATCCAGTGGAGATAGTGATGGTGATCGAGGAGCTCGATGGCGCGGATGGTCGGCGCGTTCGGCCGCAATCGTCCAAGTTGAGCACCTTTCGCAGCGGTCGGTCATCGGATGGGTGACCGAAAATTCACTGTGTCGAGCTCTTCCTCGACAAACTCAAACCGGGCCCGCGTGGTGGGTTCCGGTTTTATTTCATTCCCGGGGAAGGCCTGCGCCCCATCAGCGGGGACGTCGATAGATCGATGATGATGCATCGTAAGCGTCCAAGGCTAATTTCCACCAAAGTTAAATATCGATTTTACTATATTTCGATTTTAGCACAAGTAAATTTGTTTTCAGTAGAATCGAGACATAGCCTTCCGCAAGCGACCGAGTTCAGTTTTCTTTCACCGAAGGAATCGTTCGCTCTTTTTCAGTATCGTCTCGGTGCTCGCGGTCTGCACCTCGATAATACCGCAAACGCTAGGGGGAATCGTCGACGATGCTAACGCTCCGGGAGTCGCATCGAGATGTTATATTTATTTTTTAATAATATTATATATTATTGTTTTGTTATTTAGATAAGAATAACATCGTGAACGCTCATAAGATCAAATAACTCACTATCGTTAACACTGGGCTTCGAACAATTAAGTCATAAAACAAGAAAGATTACTTTTTAAGGGTGTCGAACTCAAGTATTAGTATCAATTTTGTAACCGAAATATCCGATGTTCCAAAAGGAGCAATAAGTAATACACAACCGCATGTTATTTCTATATTCTCATTTTGAGTGGACCGTATGTCTTTATGGGAAATAAATTATCTTCGAACCTATCTAATGAACGATCGGAGGTCACACTCACGCATCTGACAGTTGGCGCCCGCGAAGCCCAGGGGGCAGTTGCAGGTGTAGTTCATGCGGGTGGAGGCGTCGGGGCGGCACGAGCCCCCGTTGCGGCAGGGCTGCGCGGCACACGGGTCCGAGGGGGGGCGGCGCGCCGGCCACGGCACGCGGCTCTCGCACAGGCGGCCAGCGAAGCCCGCGGGGCAGAGGCAGCCCGCGCCGTCCGAAGTGCACTCCCCGCCGTTGCGACATTGCGAGCATACGTTCTCGATCTGATCGAAATCATGCAAATTGAATATGACAGACGTTGGTGTTTCTCACGCATCACATTGCATTGTTTAACGAAGTTCCCCAAGATCCGATTGAGCTTCCGCTGACTTAATTTTAATCTCAGATCAAAAATACTCTTATGAATAAGGGCTATTATAAAGTTGATGATTATCTAAATGATCGTAATGCATGGACATAGTGTTTCTTATAATTTGATATTAAATGGGTATTACTCATTTTTCATAACAGTAATATTGTACCTATCTAATGCCGCTTCCTATATACTACTTAAAATGTTAACTATAAAATTAATTGTAACTATATATTTATATTCTAGATGATGTAATGGAAAGTGACTTCAGACGTATTTCTGAAGTAATTTTTCAACTTGACGACACTGTATATAACAATACAGGGAGAAAAAAGCAGCCCTTGCTGAGTTTCGTGCCGGTTCTTCTCAGTACAAGATCTCCCGCCGTAGTTTTGCGAACCGATGGCGTAGCTTCTTGACCTTCACAAGTGCTTGTAACAGCCTAGACTGAATAAATGACATTTCATTTCACGGCGTTTCGGCCCGACCGGTCTCGGAAGAGGCCGGAATCCTGTATCGCTTTATATGTTCGCCGCGACTTTCCACCGACGGTGACATATTACGTTAATTATTGGCTTGGATGATTTGTTAATTTATATGAGTGTACGATGGGACCGACATGTCTGTGAAAGATAATAGTCCTTTAAATGAAGACGAGAGAAAAAAAAACACAAATCCATTTTTTTCTTTAAGCCAGCAACGGAGCTTATTTACCGGTTAATTTTCGAACCTAAATCAGTGTCAAGTACGTTAGGAACGTTTTGTTAAGATTTGGCTCTACCTTAACTTAACCTTAAAAAACCGGTTTTCCTCAAATAAGTTTTGAATCAATTTAGCAGTTTTCGAAAGGTTTCGTTTCGCTCTTACTGACGGCTGAAATGAATACACAACTGCGAAATGAATAGCTCGACTCGCTAGACGCTAGCAAATGTGTCAATAAATACATAAATCTCTGAGCATTAACGAGTTGTGACTTGATTAGTTCGAACAAAACGAACTTCGAGCGATGCCGACGCGTGCACGTGTCGCTCTGGATTAAACCGGTTTATTAAGGTTTTAGGCACCGCCTTCATTTCGGACGCGCTCCGAACGAAAACTTTACTGAAAACCGATATTAACCTTTATTTACCGGTATTTTTGAAATCGGTTTCGAGCCCTGGCCAGCAGATTCTACAAATATATAAATAAATATATCCAACACTCACACCAAATAGCCTAGCCCCAAAGTTGAGGCAATGGTATTTGTTCAATAAAATATCCAAATCGTTATAACTTTGGTCTATTGTCCCATCCTTCTTTATAAACCACAGTACTAATTATTTTCGCTTATTAACGAAATCTTACCAGATGCGCGTTCGCAACACACACACACACACACACACAGAGGTGCCAGTATAATCATAAATTACAACATACGACCACAGATATTGAAATCTTAATATGCAAGGCTTGAGTTATAGGATTCTAGGGCAACTAATAGAATACATATACCGATACATATATAAGAATATTTATATAGAAATACATATTAAACATCCATGACTGTAGTACAAATGATCGTATTAATCACACAAACATCTGCCCCCCCGGGATTCGAACCCGGCGTAGAAACGTAAGACCTTTCGAGTCTGTGACACCATGAAACCCGGCGTATAAACCACTCGGCCACGGAGGTTATTAAAAAGAAACTGTACTGTCATCCTCTCTAAAGATAGATCATATTTTATTCCCCTTCCTAATGAACGAAGGATTTTTGGATTTGTTACTCCATGTTTTATCCCTGTTCATCGAATGACAAATAGCATTTGAGTGAAATAAACAAAACACAACTTAATTAGTCTTAGCTAATTCCTGGTTTATTATTACCGAAATCGACGCCCCTGCTAAACTTCCGCCATTTTTTTTAGATTTGTTTATCTTTCTTTTTATTAACTACTCGTTTTCAATAAACATAAAGAAATCAAGGGAAATAACTTATTTATGAATTGAAATCTTACTTTAATAATATACTTATCGCACAATATTTGACGACTCGAGAGGTCCCGGGTTCGAATCCCGGTGGAGGCAGATGTTTTGTGTGACGAATACGAGCTTTTGTACTCCAGTCATGGATGTTTAATATGTGTTTCTATATAAATAAACTTATATATGTATCGGTATATGTATTCTATCCGTTACCCTAGTATCCCATAACACAAGCCTTACAGTGCTTACTTTGGGACTAGGCTAATTGGTGTGTGTTGGCAAAAAAAAAAATATATTGGCCTGTGCCCCAGCAGTGGGGACATTAATAGGCTGATGATGACAATATAGTATCAGTAATTTATTCATTGTAAAAATCTGGTGCTATGATAACCTAGAAATGTTCGTAATTCTCTGATGCGACTGAATAGTTAAATGGCATTTACACTACCCAATTTTAAAGGACTCTACTCTGACTACGGGTGTTGCAACATGAGTTAGGGCGTTAAGGACCCGATCTAGGGCGCTCCCTTCGACACCCTTTCGATAGGACCCTTAAAATTGTGTAGTGTAAATGCCATTGTAACGTTAAGTTAAGAAACAGTTAGAGACAGGTGATAGTACGTGATTTAAGAATATTCTCAGTCAGTATTCAGGAAAAGAGCTACATTATATTCGTTGCATAATATTTTTTATAACAGAAATCTACACATAGGATTCTTCGCAAATAACAATTCCATAATTCAAAAGGTCCGTGACTTTGTTGTTATGCAATCACTACATAGGAATCTACAACATTTTGTATGCTTTAGAGTATAAAACTTATTTCCTGTTCAAATATGAGGTTAAATCTGTGCGGTTGTTCTTAAAGTTACTTGATTTTTATTTACTTTTAACAATAGTTGTTCAAAGTATACGTGGAATGGTGCTATCCGAGTGTCCAGAGTAAGCGAATGAATGAAGCAATGGAATGGACGAGCCAGTATGCTAGTAATCTGTAAGTGATGGAGGACAGAGTGATGGGTGGTTACCTCAGGGATGTCCCCGCGGTCGTAGTTGCTGCATTCTTGCACGTTCGCGGATTGGATGGAAGAGCCCACGATGTCAAGGGCGTCGTTGTACACCATCACCTGTACATATATAAAGATAGATAGTTGTATACCTCATTTTATATTGTTGACAAAACGGTGTTTTAGCCCAGCAGAAATTGGGATCATTAAAGGAAATCACTGAATATTTTAAGACTGTCTTTTGTTGCAAACCTGCTAGGGTATTTGACAAGTTTTAGAAAACGACCTCACGTAATTGACTAATGTTTATGGAGTCCGTAAAAAGTGGATATTTATCATTCTGTTGCGTATTTCAGTAAAAATAACCAAATCAAAAACTCCATTTTCAAGTTGCCGCGAAAACGTTTTTCTGGACAATATGGCGTCTTACATGTCACACGACTGATATTAAAACGTCAAACGATACAATGTAATGTCACTTTAACCGAAAGTTTACTTGCGTGTGACGTCATTTTAGGCTCCGCCAATTCCAAGCGTTTTGGGTCACGTGACAATAGATAAGAAAACTATTATCTTTTTCGTGGGTTTTTAGTAAAATTATGAATATTTTTGTTGTAAAAATAGTAAAAACCCCTGCCAATATTCATTGTAAACACAGATGCTAACAATTGGCACTTTATTTTTAATAATGTCAAATACCCTATTGAGTAGTTCTCCGAAATTAAAACTGCTGCTTTAGTTATAATATTAAAATTAAATAGAAAAAAATCAAGGCTTCTACAGGTGTACTTATTAGTTTTATTTTTCTGCTACTTATTCAAGTGTGTAGAATTCCAGATGTTGCGATAACCACTTCATATGTTATGTATTATTATCTTTAATACAGTATAAAACAAACGCTCCCGCTGTCTGTACGCGTAGATCTTTTAAACTACACAACGGATTTTAATGCAGCTTTCAGCAATAGATAGAATGATTCAAGACAAATGTGCCTGAAACGTTTCTTAGATCGAAAACTCTAGTCTTCAACGAATCGAAGCGAGGGCGGGTCACTATTATTATTATTATTTTGATTTTTGGGGATATGCAGTCCTAATGGGGCTGTAGTCACTGCGACCTATAAGATCTATTGTGTCTCGCCACCAATTTAAAGTATTTCTTTTAGCCCGACAGCTTCCAAGAAGATCAAAACGTTTCTAGCTTTGAGCTATTATATGTAGTACTATACGAATACTATGTTTGTGGATGAGAGGCCCACATTCAAATAGAAAGGGTTTTGGTATTTCGTCCTCCAGGTTTGCAGTCATCAGTGTCACTCAATTTCATATGAAATTGGTATCTGTTGAGTTTGCGGTGTTCAGTTAAGGCTCTTACGATAGCAAGGTGGAATTGTTGCTGAGTTTCTTGCCGGTTCTTCTCAGTACAAGGTCTCCCGCCGTAGATTTACGAACCGATGGCGTAGCGTTTGACTTTCACAAGAGCTTGTAACAACCTAGACTGAATAAATGAGTTAAGGCCGCTCGACCTCCTAAGTTCTATTAGGGTGAGGCCAAACGAACGTAATTTTGTGAGTGGTGAGTCGCAGAATTTCGGTTGCAGAAATTCTGCTGCATTCGGTTTGATACAAAAAGGCAGTTGGTGCCACACGACAACGCAAAATGAGTTGTCTGCCGACTCAATGCACATAAACACGTCCGAATTTCGGTCGGGGTGAGGGTAGGGCAAGGAAGGGGAGAGGGGAAGCAACAGTTTGTTACAAGTTGCGTGGTGTAACAATTCTTGAAAAACACGTAATGGCATATGATAGTACTTTTCAAACATATCTGGATTTGCACATAAACGGTCATATAAAGTATGGAACTGTCCACATATCAGCATCTGACTATTCAGTGGGTTTACCCAGTTTCTTTTTCTGGCCTCATCTTCTGAATATGCTTCGTAAATACACAATATTTTTAATGCATCCATTGCACTCGACGACACGAACACCCCGTACTAACGCTCAATAGTAACTGAATAAATTACGTTCGTATGGCAGCTCAACAGAAATTCTGTTGAACGTAAAATAAGTGACCGAAAATAAGCGACTCACAACTCACAAAATTACGCTCGTTTGGCTTCACCTTTAAGGGTCACTAGTATGGTATAAGATACAAATAGTATAGTGGACGATGTGATATGAAAAGATTGCGGCGGCGACATCTATATGCCTCACATATATACAACGGATGGGGGGAAATCATCACTCACCATCCTCAAGAGATGGCGTTACCTGCACTGCGATCTTAATAGTATGGAAGCCTACATCGCGCAAACGAAATTCGGAGGCTAACTCTTCATATATACGATGCCCGACCAACATCAGTCGGGCCGCGGCCCCCGAGCTACCATCACCCAGCTCGGAGGAAGATCTTCCCCTTCGGCCTTCCTACAAGATGAAGACGATGAGAGGTCAGCGGATAGTCACCTCCTTGATGCAGCCGCTGAAGCCGCCGGTGACGCCGATGTTCTTGTTGAGGACGATGGAGTCGTCCACGCCGCCCACGAACAGAGGCGTCTCCAGGTTGAGATCCTTCAACAAATACACCTTTGTAAATACAGCGTCAACGAGAGACAGAAGAAACAATTCCATGAAAGAAGAGGGTGGTTCTTAAATTACTTGTAAGACTTATGATATAAAAGATTTGTTGTACGAGTAAATTGAATTTTCAAATAAGCTTTACGATCAAAATAAGGTTCTTATAAGTAAAATTTAAGAAGAAGAGATGCCCCTCCACTTGTAATCCACAAGCGGAGGGGCATATTCTTCTACGTGAAAAAATAAAATAAATGATTGATTGATTTTCCGAATAATAAATATTGTTTAATACATTCAGGACATTATTACTATAGGTATTAGTTAACAATACGAGAACGATGAGGAACTCGATGGCGCGGGTGGTTAGCGCGTTCGGCTGCGATCGTTGAAGTTAAGCAACTTTCGCAGTGGTCGGACATTGGATGGGTGACCAAAAATCTTCTATCTCGAGTCCCTCGGTGCTTCGGAAGGCACGTTGAGCCGTCGGTCCCGGCTGTATCTGCATTCGTTAGCACCCGTCAATCCGCACTGGGCCCGCGTGGTGGATCATGGCCCAATCTCCCTATTCCATCGATAGGGAAGGCCTGTGCCGCAGCAGTGGGGATATTAATAGGCTGTTGATGATGATGATTAGTTAACAAAACCAAACAAAAAAATGTGTGCGTGTACTAGTGTACACACGTAAGAAGTGAAACTTCTTTATGGCCTTATTTTTCGAAAAATGATCTACATGCAACTTTCCAGAAATTGGTTAAATAAAGTTAAATTAGATAAAGTTTAAACGAAAGGATTTTATTATTATAGACATGAATACAAATTACTGCCTATGAAACTGTTATGATTACACGGCTCAGTAATCTAAGGCACATGTTCCACCTCCGACGATGAACGATAAGCGAGTAGAGACTAGAAACGAATTGGCAGTTCTGAGTTAAAATGCACGCGCACGGCTTTTGACAGCCAAGCCAGCTTAACCGAGCGAGTATAGCTGAGCGAGTATCGCTATGCGAGTTTGGCTGAGCGAGTCTTATCTTTAATAACTATTGTCACTCAGCTACAAACGAGTAGAGAGAGTTCTCGCCGGCGACAGTGTGATCATTCAGCTATCAACTATTAATATAAAAAAAGATGGCGCGTAACGGAAAAATGTGACGCGTAACCGAAAAATGTAACGGTAAATTTTTTTCCAACGCCGATAAAGAAGTTTCACTTCAATAATCTTCATGATGGTGTGTTCTTATGGAACCACTCACCGTTTTAGCCGAGTCCAGTTTGTCCTTGAATTCGTGTACGTTGTTAATCCTGAGCGAGACATCCTGCCCGACGCGGTTGATGTACACGTCTGTCCATTCGTTGGCGGGCAACGTCCTGTTGCTTGTCAGCACTACCGGTCTACTTCCTGCAATGAGGGTGTTTATGAAAATTTACGTCACCAGTGGGCGCCACTGTTACGTGAGGTCTTTTGTATGAAGTTTTTAACGTCAACTCCATAAACCAGATTCATAGACAATGAGATCACATGCGATTTGACGGATGATTAGACCTTTCGTCTCAGTACTGCCACCTGGTGCCTGTCATTCCAAAAAACCCTCATTCAAAATTGCATTAGCAACTTTCTATTGACGCACAGACGATGTCCGAACAGAGGCAATTGGTTCCAAATAATACCTTAAAAAAAAACTGTATTTTCGTAATGTTTCGCATCTTCTTTATTAGTTAGTTACAAGCTACCATCCAAGCTTTACGAGTTATAAGTAGATTCAAGTGAAAGATTCTTTGCCAACCTACCTAAATTTCAATGCTTAACAATCCTAAAACCACCTCCTCGTCAAGGAGAGTCTTGGAGATACCCAAAATATAACTATACTAGCAAACCAATGAACCAAATGTTCACCAAAACCTGATTTAAAAAATGTATTTAATTAATTGAGAACTTCGGAGATTTTGAGTGGTTTCGTTTGAAATTATTTAGTAAAAAAAAAACCCTTAAATAGTTAATTAAAATTGTGATAATTACAAAATAGAAATCACGTGATTTCTCGAAAGCCGGAAGTGCTACGTTACTCAAATCCGGTTTGTAGTCTTATCAGACTATTCTTAACTTATAACTTAAATATTCTCTTTATCTATCTCTATCTCTTACGGTTTGGCCGCTGAAACAGCACCACAGACGGACGGACGGACTTGTCTAATAGATAAGAGATTATTTTACTTTGTTTGTGTACATTCGTTTGAAGTTTACGATCAAGTGTAACCCATCCATTGCCACCCAATTGGAACATTGATATAAGGATTGATCGATTGATAATTTACAATTTTTGCAATTAATATGTGATTTTAAGAAGACGTTGTCCCGTTAGTAGGAACTAGCAAACCAGTGAACCAAATGTTCACCAAAACTTGATTTAAAAAAAAAATAAAAAAAAAATGTATTTAATTAATTGAGAACTTCGGAGATTTTGTGTGGTTTCGTTTGAAATTTGTGATTTCTCGAAAACCGGAAGTGCTACGTTACTCAAATCCGGTTTGTAGTCTTATCAGACTATTCTAACTTATAACTTAAACATTCTCTTTATCTATCTCTTACGGTTTGGCCGCTGAAACAGCACCACAGACGGACGGACGGACTTGTCTAATAGATAAGAGATACGAAGACAGATTTATTATGCAATATACCCGCATCCTAGTCGAATAACGGCCAGTTCGAATAATCAGGTTCCAGAGGTAGACTTTGTTGCTATGATGTGTAATATTTATTTTATTATTAAGTTGCGAAGAAACGGGACCTGATTATCCTTACCTGTTACCAGAGGTCGATTATTGAAACCGGAGGCCTACTCTAATTCAATAACGAAGACGAAACAAAGAAAAACGAAATTTCGATCGAAACTTAGCACGCTTTTTACTATTTTTCTTATTTGTTTCTTAATAAAATAATATGCGTTCGCCCGAAAATAGATCGAGTTTTATATTATCTAAGCCTATTTCACGAAAAATTTAATTCGATAGTTCATCGTTCAAATCAAGCATATAGCCTTAATCGTAATTTCTATTATTTTAAAGCATGGAACTGCTCGATGTTTAAATCTTAAGAAAATATAACTAGAAAAAAATCCACGCGGACCAGGCAGCACGATAAGCATAATGCGAAGAGACGGCGCCGCCTCGCAGCTCAAGAACGGCTAGAAGAACTTCGACGCGGTCAGCGAGGGCCGCGGTAGCATAATCGGTCAGCGCATTCGCCCGGATCGCGAAGGGTGCGGGTTCGAGTCCCGTCTGCCGTCTGGTCCGCGTGGAATTTTCTCTAGTTATATTTATTTATTTATATCACCATTGCTCATGTACATTATTCATTATAAGGTCTCACATACTCAACAGTGAGCGGTACATGACCCCGTCGGGGTGTCGCAACAAACTCGAGCTTAACATTGAATACATTAATATCACTCGATCGTCGATCATATTAAATCACATCAGGTCCAACCGAATTCAAACAAAATCAATCCATTTTAAAAATGAATCAAGTCAATAATATTTTCTTTATATAGGCTCAAGTTGACGAAATTAAACACGGAGAAAGAGAGCGGTCTCCCTGCTCGCAAACGACTTACCGTCCGCGAGGTCATAGGTGAATTGGAGCCTCGAGTCGTGCACAGTGAGGGCGGTGAAGCCCCGGTTCCCGCGGCGGGACTCGGCGCAGTACATGATGATGCCGTCGGAGAGCGGCGCCGCGGCCTTCACCTTCATGGCGAGACGGAACACGCGCGAGAATGCGGGCGCCTTCACCGCCAAGTACGCGCTGCCCGTGAACGCGGGGTATTCTATATTCTGTCTCACGTCGCAACTGCACAAACATACGTTTCCGGTTATGACGGGCGGCGAGAAAAGAGAATAAAACTAGTTTTTTACGGGTCAATGCGCGAAACTTTATTTATTTATTGACGTTTCGTAGCCTTTACGGGCTTCGTCGACAGGCTGTAGAGGCTACGAAACGTCAATAAATGAATAAAGTTTCGTGCGTTAACCCGTAAAAAACTAGTTTTATTTAATGAATGATGTGCGCGAAAACCTAAGAAACAAATAGAAAAGAGAAATAAATGATGCGGTGTCGTGGGACACCAGGTAGGAACGAAGTTCCTTCGGCTAATGTAGAATACGATGTATCTATAATGTGAGTGTTCGCCACGTGCTTGTCCATGAATTCATGAGTATATACTATGCATTGGCGGGGTGGAGTGGTAATAGAAAGAGAAGGGATGAGAGAACGAAAAGAAAGAGGGAGAAAGAGAAAGGTATTATACACTACTCGCTTGTGTATGCGACTGTCGCGCCTGCGCACGTCTCGTTTAACGGTTTTATTCCACGTACTTTTTTCCACGGATTTTTTCTTACGGTTTTACTATCACGTTTTTTTCAGTTCGGTAGCGCAGCAAAATCCCTATCCCCTCCAAGCCTGCCGTAAGGAACTTCGTTCCAAAAGAGTAAATAGGAATAGGTTTAAGAATATACATATTTACAAGAATAATATTTAAAGAAAAGAATATAAGGTAGGGGTATAGTGTGCGTGTAGTGTGGGGTGTGAAGTAGGAAGTGGTGAAGTGAGAGAGGGTCGTCGGCGATCTTCACTGTGGCAGCTTGAGGGTCTGGAGGACAAACGGCGGAAGTGAGTAGAAAATTAAGTAAATAACAGAATATAGAGAAATGCCGGTGAGTGTCCAGCACTCTGGAATAGTGATTTTCAGTACAGGTGGAATTATTATACGTATTTACAAAATGATGAATAGTGTGTGATATTTATGAAATTGTGTGTTTCCAGAAATACATAATAAAATATATGTTTATGCCTGAAGAATATCGCTGATGTTAGATGATAAAATGTGTGACATGGAACCTATGATAGTCGAAACCTTAGGACGATTCCTGAGGTACGTTACAGTTATTCACTGCAGGTATCGATCTAGGTGACAATGATTTTGGAAACTGAGAGGTATCTCTAGAGAATATAAAAATGTAGATAGAGGTAAAATGGTAAATCTTTTGACGTGACAACGTCTTAAATTAGGTTGCGGCTGGGAGTCACTTATGAAAAAGTGTAACGCTCGGTAACGTTACGATGAGTCTCTCGTGTTAAGTTTAAGTTTACATGTACAATGTTTTAGTAAACAAAATATATTTCTATAGTTAAAATTTGTGCAATTCTTATTTTCATTCAATTCCTTGTTCCTATTGTGCAATTTAATTATATTCATATCAATAAATATTCTACCGAGAAAAAGACGTTGTCACGTAAAATCTTCGCCCGTAAAACCGACTTTACAGGCAACCATTTTTTTCATACTCTTAAGAGACTTCATTAATCTTATGTAGGGGTAGGGAAACGTATGCCGAGCTGACTGTCAGCTTTCGTCGTTTGAAGAGGCATTAGAAGAAGAAGAAGTTGAGCTGCTTATAGCTACTTTTTCAAGTCTCGATTGAAGGTCCTAGCTAGAGTTACGTAATATAAAAGTATGCGCATGCAGAGAATACATTGTTTATCATCTATCAAAATTATTTTACTATGTTTTTTAGTATTGGACGGCACGAAACTGTAGCGCTGACCGTTCCTGCGCACAAGCAGGGCTTGTTTACCGGTTAATTTTCAAACCTAAATCAGTGTCAAGTACATTAGGAGCGTTTTATTTAGGTTTGGCTCTACCTTAACCTTAAAAAAAACCGGTTTTCCTAAAAAGCGAAATCAAACAGGTTTTGAATCAATTTAGCGGTTTTTAAAGGGTTTTATTTCGCTCTTACTGACGGCTGAAATAAATACACTACTACAAAATGAATAACTTGACTCACTAGACGCTAGCAAACGTGTCAATAAATGCATCAATCTCTCAGCATTAACAAGTTGTGACTTGATTAGTTCGAACAAAACAAACTTCAAGCGACGCCGACGTGTGCACGTGTCACTCTGGATTAAACCGGTTTAATAAGGTTTTAGGTACCGCTTTCATTCCGGACGCGCTCCGAACGAAACCTTTACTAAAAACCGGTTTTAACCCTTATTTACCGGTATTTTTGAAACCGGTTTCAAGCCCTGCGCACAAGCAAAAGTTAAGATGACTTGAGGGGCGTGCATTGCGCCGATTGTCTCTCCAGTCATACCGCAGCGCAGCTATCCCCACCGCGTTTTGTTCAGCGCTAGAGTTACGCGCCGCGACCTGTCCTGTGGGAATGTGACGGTATTTAGTTGAACGTAGATAGATAGTAGAGCGCTAGATAGTAACAGCAAAACTTCTGGGCTAGTACACGAATGTCACCTAGCGTTGGAGCGCATAGCAACAGATAACAAGGTTACCCTCCAATGGATCAAGGGACATAGCGGCTCTATGGGTAATGACCCGGCTGACGAACTGGCTAGAAGAGGATTACCACAAAGAGTGGAAGGCCCTGAGCCACTTCTACCATTACCCTTTAATCAAGTTCGTACATGGGTGCGTCAAAGAACCATACAGAGCCATAACAGCCGATGGGCCAGTACCGAGGGCTGCAGGCAATCTAAGGATATTTTTCCTAGCCTAACTAAAAAACTATTAAATTTTAACCGAAATGACCTCCGAGTAATGCTGGGCACCATAACCGGGCACTGCCTACTTAACAAGCATCTACTAACTATACGCGTTACAGATAGCTCTCTATGCAGAGGATGTCTGGAAGCGAATGAAACGGCCGCACAAGTGATCCTGGAATGCATGAGCGTAGCAGAACACCGGAACAAGTAACAAGTAGGGTATTTGACAGTATTGAAAATAAAGTGCCCATTGTTAGCATCTGTATTTAGAATGAATATTGGCAGGAGTCAAGGGCGGATCCAGTGGGGGGGGGGGGGGGTCACGGGGGTCATGACCCCCCCCCCTGGGCTGGGTCCATCTGTACCCACATCACAATCTGTACCCACTGTGACTTGACCACGACTATATGACCCCCCCCCCCCCCTGGTGCCAAAGCTGGATCCGCCCTTGAGGGTATTTGACCCGAGGACGCTCCTAGAAGCCTGTGAGAGTCCCAGGAGACTACGGAGACTACTGCGCTTCCGGAAGGAGCTGGGCTGGCTGAGCTTGATAGCCTAACCTTTTAAGTGCGGCTGTCGAACCAGTCCGACAAAAAAATATCTCTCTCAACGCCGGCTACCGCACCAGTACGACAAGACTAGTTGTACTAGTTTAGACCTTATAATTGAAACAAATAATATCAGAATGGTTTGTGTCGTATGTCAAATGAATGAGAAAGAACCAACCTATTCATTCAAAGATTTACAGTCTACAAGAACAATACTCATTCATGTGACCACCATTTAAAAATATTCGTGCTCCTCCTCTCCTGTGCTGTTGACGTACGAGTACTTTTCAGTGTGTTTTGTTTGTGAAATCCTACAAAGAAGTTAAAAAATGGGTAAGTTATCAATTCTTTATACATTTTTTTTTATATTTAAAAAAACCGTGTACTAATCCATGCTTTAGTTTTTGAATAATTCGAAGACAAACATAAACAACCTAAAATTTTTTCCTACTATACATTTTTCATGATTTTTTTTCTATTTTATTACTTTATTATTTTATCCTAGTTTTAATTCAAACTTACAGCAAATTTACGAAAGAAGTTAGATTTTACAAAACATTTGTACTTATAAAGATACTTTCACAATAAAATTCAAATATTATAGGCAAACCGCAAAATGTTCGCAAGACGCACGCACACATGCAAAACATTACGTTTAGGTGTGTGCGTGAATTGCTCCGGCTATGGAACAAGGGTGTTCTTTTTATCTACTGTTTTGAAGGAAGTGTTTGTTCTGATTTGAAGATAATTATTTATTGAGATTTTATGTTCAACTATGAACGTACTTAGGTACCTATATTTTTTAGCATATGTTAGGTGATTAGATTTGTCCAGTAGTGATGCTGTAGCATCGATAGGTATATCTAATCGATTATAAATACAGGGTAAGCGAGAATCCAAGGGACCCGAATGTTATTCTCGCTTATTAGAGGTTTCTCACTAAAGCAGTTTGTCACTTACAAAGTTTGAGTGTAGTTACTCTAGAGGTTAATAAAAGTCGAGAAACATGGTGCTAGAGCGTTAAAAAATTCATACATAATAAGTACACATTTGTTTTTAGAAACATATTTTTTTTATTCGAAGAAATCAGTTATTTTTTTCTGAGTGTCGTTCTTACAATTATGAATCTGTTTTTCAATTTCATAAAGTTTATCGAAAAATGAAGAATCAATTTTATAATTTCTTTTTTTTTATATAAAAGGTAGATTCCGGCAAGTTAAAATCACTCATGATTGCGTTTCTCGGCTTGGTTTACAATTTTAAGTTTATCATTCAACAAAATCACTTTAATTTTTCGTTTTAACATTTTGAGGGAACAACGTAAACCGCAGGTAGGGACAAGCGCACATGTGCGCTGCAGCCATTGTCGTTTTCGATGGAATTACAAACAATTCTATCGAAAACAATGACGCTTTGGCTTTCTTTGTTTACAAAAAAGGATATGGTTTGGCTTGAACTTTGAGTTGCGAGTTTTGAGATGTGTATTGAAATATTATTGTAAATAGTCTCGATGGCGCAAGTGTTATTTAGCGCGTTCGGCTGCGATCGTTAAAGTTAAACAACTTTCGCAGTGGTCGGTCATTGGATGGGTGACCAAAAATTTATTTATATTATAATTTAAGTTGTTGTTTTTATATTTCTATAAGTTGAAATATATAATTATGTTTATTATTATTCAGATAAGTACATACATACCTAACACTAGAAGAAAATTTAATATAATAAGTACGTTAAATTAATTATGAATAAATTATTATTTTGTAAACCTCAGTTTTATTTTTAAACTTCACTAATCTTACTTTGGAACCCGCTGTATACGCTCTTGTACGTACACAGCAGAAGGTCGACTGTAGACGTAAAACTTGAGTAATAAGTAGTCACTTAGAGAATTTTTATTTATTGATTTTGTTTGATAAAACATAATGAAACGCATATAAATAGAATGCTCATTTATAGAAGTTTTTAACTGTAAATAAAAAGGCATTGTATAGTAATTTTAGAAAAAACTGTGCACAAAACAATGCTCATAACTTTTTGCGTGAGTTTGATATCTGATCTTGAAAACTTGGTAATTACTGTTATATTATTTGCTAATACGATACAGTTTGGTCGTGATATTCAATATATGTAAATTACTGATATTTTAAACGAAAATTTGCTAAGTTATACCTTATAATTATGACACAGTATAATTTCGAAAAACCGGGATCAACCCGCGCGAATTGCTTCCGTGGTGAAATTTTAGCGCTTTTTCAAACTCCAAAAAGTTGTAGTTTTATATTTACAATATTTATAAAAATTACCAATTTGTTTAGGGAATTTTATGTTTAATCTTATAAAAATATGTTTTTTTGGTAAAATTGACATTTGGTAGCTAATATATTCCATCTTTACTACAAAGTAGTTAATTTTTCAATTCTTCTAAGAACAAGCTCATGTTTCCGCTCCAAATATAAACAAAACGTGTTTATTTTGTGTTAGTCAGCTAGTTTATTTCATTATCTTTCTGATAATATAAGCATTGCCGAGCTTTGTTAAGTCTAAGTCGTAAAAAATACGATAAGATCGAGTCGAGTGTCCAATGGCGCGCTCAAATCTTAAGTGCGCCGGCCTCTACGGTATCGTACACGCGAGGCCGCGCGGGCCCTCATAGCCTAATATACCCTGCACGCACGATGGACCAAATACGGAGTCTACACCATTGGTCCCACCCTTGCGTAGAACTGTCCTAGGTGCTAATTCCCCAAGACCTCGTTTGTGCAAACTCCTCAACAAACATAGTCAGACCTTAGATGTCAATAACGATTCCCTGGCAAAGTTCAAACGAGGATTTCTGGAGGCTTATGAGACATGACATTCATGTAAACGTTAAGCATTAAGTGACAGTCGGTAGAAACATAGACTTAAAGCTTAACGTAACACAAATTCTAAAATGAAAATGAATATAATTATGATCGGTAACTTTATGCATGACTCTGTTATTAGTTATTATATAAGTGATCGTCGTTATTAATATATAAAAAAAAAATCACTTTACCTAATATATGTATGCGCATGCAGTGTTGGCCTTCAATCGGTTAGCACATTTAGCATTAAATTTGGTAGATAAGATTTATTGTAAGTTTCTATATAGCAACCGTTGGCTGACCTAAATCTAATATATAAAATTCTCGCGTCGCGGTGTTTGTGGTTAAACTCCTCCGAAACGGCTTTCCCGATTCTCATGAAATTTTGTGTGCACATTGGGTAGGTCTGAGAATCGGACCACATCTATTTTTCATCCCCCTAAATGTTAAGGGTAACCCACCCCTATTTTTTTTTTCAATTTTATATATTTTTTTAGGATACATCAATACAGACATCTCTAAATTTTCAACTGTCTACCACCAACCCCTATTTTTCTATGGCGGTACGAAGTTCGCCGGGTCAGCTAGTAAATAAATAAAAGTAAAAGTTAGCGGAACGCACTTGTTGCCGGTGAAGGTGACGGGGCAGGCGCACTTGTAGCCTATGGCGGTGTCGATGCAGCGGCCGGGCCCGCACAGGCCGGGCCGGCACGCCTCGCCGGTGCCGTCGCAGTTGAGGCCGGCGAAACCGGCCGCGCACAGGCATACGTAGCCGCGCTCGTTGCGGGCCTCCTGCAAGCGATCACCGATTCAAAAATTCAATATCGTTTATTCAGTCTAGGCTGTTACAAGCACTTGTGAATGTCGAAAAGCTACGCCATCGGTTCGCAAAACTACGGCGGGAGACCTTGTAATGAGAAGAACCGGCGAGAAACTCAGCAAGGGCTGCTTTTTTCTCCCTGTTTTATTTCATACAGTGTCGTCCGATTGAAAGTTGACATCGAACTTGCAAACATGTGTTGAGGTCAACTTCCATCACATAATGTCAAATATGTAACAATCGATGAATTTACTAACAATAAGTGCAAAGATAAGTCCCAAAATAGCAAGAAACAATTTTCAAAATAAAATGAACAAGTATATGTATCGTATTCTATATCCCTTCATTATTCATACGCCTAGAAATAGCAATTTCAAATAAATCACGAAAAAACTACTGAATTTTTGACGCAATGTGTGCGTGACTCTAACGTCAGATTGTACTAAAGCGGTGGATGTGTGCGTGTGTGGCGACGAGCATATCTACCATATGTAGTAGATATTTTTTTGGGCTACGTCCGTAGAGTTAATACGGTATCTGGGGTGTATATAATCAAAGGCATATTCATTGTAATACTCGTACTCAGAAATATAATCATTTAAAACTTTCTTAAACCCTTCTTGATCACATTTCGCACATAAAGGAGTGCGAGATTATATATAATTAAAATATAAATAGAGAAAAAATGCACAGAGCTGAAATTTTCAATAATACATATATTATATTAATAAAATTTTAATTACACCTGCATTACACACTAACTACCATGCGCTTAAAACACGCTCTATGTACGAGTATCTTGGGCAGATTAACTCAAACGGTCTTACCCTCGACCGGTAAACTTGACTTCCTCACAGTACACTACTATAAGTATAGTTAGTATAGTAGCACTCTTGGTGCCGTCATAAGACATTAATTTCTGTGTGGATGTATGTGTATGCACCGAACGATCTCACAATGATGGGTCCGTTAAAAAATGTAGTCATTACGCTCAGAAGTGAGGAGCGAAGGTTTTTTAGTTGCAAGACAAATATTGACTTTTTTATCGTTGGTTATCGAATGGAAATAATGCAACTTGAATAAGCCAAAATAGTGTCACAAACGGGGAAAATACTAAGACAGATTTTGCCAGAACACCGCGGGTCGCGACGTGAATGATCGCGATAAAGGTCGAGTGATACGGCTCATTCTAATATGAGCCTTCTGCAGTGCGGCGTAAGAGAGAAAGTGCAACGACATCTGCTCTTGTTTAAAACTTATGCGCGTTACCTACGTATAAGTAGGTGCTACGCACTCGCGGGTGCTAGTTAACTCTCAGTTAAACGGGAATTTTCTAGAATGCGTCGATTGGCGTATATAAGCGCGTTCGGCGCCGCGCAGTAGACAGAATAGTTTCAACAGCGATTTTGGAACGAATACAGAGGCGATCAAAGTGCAAGTGAAGTGTTCAAGTGCGATTGTTTAAAAATTTTGACTTGTAAAGAGAATGTTGTATTGTGAGTTTTAAGAAAAAACTGTGAACTGTGTGGTGAATTAAGACCTGTCAAACGTGAACTGGCATATAATTTCGAATCCCATCCAATTACGTAACAATAGCTAAAACTAGGGATGTCGAAAGTTGAAAAAAATATCGATATATCGATACATCGATATTTTAAAAAATATCAATATCGGCTTCGATATATCGTGAAAAAAACATCGATATATCGGACCAATTTTCCCAAAAATATCGTACAGTTGCTCACGAAATATGACACGCGGAATAATAATGGAACGAAAATTATCTCCCTAAAAATAGACCCTATTTTAGAATGATGACATAGACAATATTAAATACAGCACAGATCATAGATATGTTGAATATCATTAATCTGAGATCCAGTTACGATTTTTCCAGATACGAATTTAGTTAGATCGTGATATGCCGCTAATAATTAAAAAAATATCGTTTTTGATACAAATTTCGATATTGGTTATTTTGTATCGATGTATCGATATATCGAATCAAAATATATCGGCAAAAAATATCGATATATCGAACAAAAAATATCGATATATCGATACATCGATATATTTTCAACAAGCCTAGCTAAAACAACAGTTTTATATCTTACCTGACACACTCCATTTTTGCTGCAAAGGTTGGGGAAACAGGAGTCGCACTGGCGGACGTTGGATTGATCGATGCTGTCCAACATGATGTTCTTCTCCTCTCTGCCCAGGATCAGCATGCTAATGCAACCCATGAACCTGACAAATACCGAAAATGTATTTTATTACAACAAAAGAACAAGCAAGGTTCATGGCACAGAACAGAAAGAGGGTACAAGGGTGATCATAGACCGTTTGTACGGGAACCGCCGCCGGCTCGGCCCCACTACACTTCCACCTAAGCTGAAGAAGAAGCTCGATGGCGCAGGCAGATTGCGCGCTTGTCCTGAAAGTTAAGCAACTTTCCTAATGACCTGTCATCGGATGGGTGACAGAAATGTATTGCCGCGAGCTCCTTCGTGCTTCGGATCATCACACACTCACAAACACACACTTGCTAGTATTTAAAATATATAGACATTTAAGCGTTATCCTGTAACCCGCATTTACTGATAAATGGCGGTAACTTTCTTTTTCTTTTGCTTATAATTTTGTTATTAAATTCACTATGGTTCTGTAACATTCAATGTAACATTAACTGATATGTACTAAAGGATTCATGTAATGCATAAGAATCTGTAGCAAACGGGCTTTAGGAGGATTTGAGCCTGGGGGTCGTAACACAGGTTTTGTAACCTAGTACAATCTCCAGCTCTCTCAAAGAACTGCATTGTTATTACTGTTTTGTCATTCAATACCCTTTAATTAATTATAATGTTACTTTGTGACTTTGTGAGAGAAAATAAATAAATCATTCATTCATTCATTCATCTGCAGAGTTAGCACCCACCAATCCGCACTGGGCCCGCGTGGTGGTTCATGGCCAGGACTCCCTATTCCATTCATAGAGAACGCTTGTGCCCAGCACATTAATAAGCGGATGATGATATATGACGACCTTTGCGGCCGAGTGGTTTGTACGCCGGGTTTCAAGGTGTCGCCTACTCTGGAGGTCGCTCGGGGTTCGAATCCCGGTGGAGGCAGATATTTTTGTGATGAATACGAGCATTTGTACTCCAATCGTGGATGTTTAATATATATTCCTTTATAAATATAGTTACATATACAACAAATACAAATTCTTTATTTGATACAATAATTTCCGATACGGTATTGCGATCGGGGATTTTTTTTTAAATAACCATATACTTGTATTAGAAATTCCCGCTCTCCGTGCTAAAAGACATGGTACATTGAATTATTGATCACCTTAATATTTTAATAATAATGAACTCTAAAAAGTAGCATAAAAAATAATATCATTTTTTTTTACAATATTTCTTTAAGTCGAAATGTTTGTCTGTGCTTATGCATGCTTGTGTGTGGGTGTATTAGTGTGTGAGTGTATGTGTACGCGTGTATTTGTGTCTGAACAAATAGTGTATTGTTGAAAGTGGTTCTACCGAGATACCCATATGTATGAGTATACGCATTCTATTCGTTACCCTAGTGTTCCATATGCCAAGCCTACAGTGCTCAGTTTGGGGCTAGGCTAATCGGTGCGCGTGGGCGTGTCGGATATATAAATGAAATGTACCCTGAGGCGCCGGCGAGAGCGGCGGGCAGCAGGTCTAGGTCGGGCACGCCGCCGATGTACAGCGGCTCGGCCAGCTCCAGCAGCTCCCAGCCGGTCGACACCGCGCTCGAAGGGCCGTTGTTGTCCACGTCCATTATCACTGCACAGTATCACATTATCCATTAAAATACAAATTTATAAACATTGCTCGGTCTAGGCTGTTACGAGCACTTGGGAAGGTCAAGAAGCTACGCCATCGGTTCGCAAAACTACGTACAAATCCCAAACAATCTTTGGAAGGTGCAAGGATGAATTCAAATTCAAAGGGATAAATGTATTCGAAAAGAAACTTTATTTTGTAAGGTTTATACGATCAGCAAAAAATCTCAACATCGCCATTTAGACTTCACACTATACAAACTGATGGCGCCATCTAGTGACAGTTGACAACGACACTTTCACCTTATTTATTATCTTTATTGGCATAAACAACGGCGGGAGACCTAGTATTGAGAAGAACCGGCAAAAAACTCAGCAAGGGTTTTGTTTTTCACCCTTTACTGCTATATACAGAGTCGTCAAGTTGTAACATGACTTCAGAGATTCTTCTCAAGTCGCCTTCCAGTATATTAGGCTTACAACACCAAATTGTGAAACATATTGCATGAAAGGAATGTAACTTTTTCGTTCGCTTATATTCATATTTCAAATTATATGTACTCAGAATAATATGTATAACGGTAAATTCCTTCGCATGCGAGTCCAACTCAGTTTTTAATACATTTTCAAATTGGCAAATAAGTACAAGCTGTGCTTGATTGTTTTGTGTAAAACCTGAATTACAGACCTATTATTGAAGAGTTAATGCAATTAAGGTTTTCATTACATAATTTGCATGACAGCTTTAAGAGATTAGGAGATTCATGTAGTGTTTTTCTCATAGCTACCAGGATTACGTCAAGAGCCGAATACTCGACTGTTCCTAATTCATCCGAAAACAATAATGAAAGATTGTTACCCCATTACTTAATGGGCTCCGACACTGCAATGTTTAATGAACTTTTAATCTGCGCGGAATGTTTTCCTCCCGCTGTTTGTCCAAGTGTGTTATTTTGAATTAGTAATTAACAAACACAGTTTTCACTTCGTCCAAACGAAAGTACGTAGTGTCGTTTTATGTAAATTTGTGAAAACAAAAAGTGAAGGTGCCGCAAGGAAACGAGGCGACGCAATATGTTGTTCGCCTGTTCCAAATTCATCTCTATTTTCCCACTGTTAAGGTATTCCCAATAAGGCAAAAAACGTGACGCTGAACGTCGCTTTGACCGCCAGTATGAGTAGAATTTTAGTTAATCAAGGATGTTAGCTTAAAGGAATTGTGCAATACAAGGGACCAAGGATATCTTTTTCATGTGTAACATCTTTCCTACCACCTTCCCGCAAACCGCGGGAGGGATTTCCTGAAAAGGGATTGTAGCGCTAAATATAATTCTTATTTTAAGCGATTATACGCTTAAGAGCTTGTTCTAATTCCTCCGCCTTATCTAATAAGGGCATGGTGTTACGGCCTGCGCTGCGTTAAGCGGGGGTACGGAGCGGGTGTCCGCTCCGCGTGCAGTTTTTAATATCATTTCATAGGGCAGCGTTGCGACGGGAAACCCTCTTCACGAAACACTGCGACATGAAATACCATGAAACAAACACGCGAAGCGAACGTCCGCTTCGTGCTTCCGTTGAACGCTTAAAGGTTTTATTTTTTAAGTATGTAGGCTCTCGGTCGCAGATGACCTTCGCAGCGTCGCCGGGTTTCGGGACAGTGAGACCCTAGGGGGAGCTCAAGCCGAGAATTACTAGAGGTATTCCAGGCGGATGGCATCTCCCTACGGGGGGAATCTCCTCGCAATCTGGAGCCTCCAGACCACTCGAACCTGAGGGGGTTTAAAGGTAATCGGGCATTAAGCGCTGACCTCTAGAGTTGGTCTTGCTGATGCGGACGGTGTGCCAGGCGTTGAGCTGCAGCGGCCGGTCCCCGTGGACGGTGAGGGCGCCGGCGCCGATGTCCAGCACGAACTGTAATCAGGCATTGAGCGCTGACCTCTAGAGTTGGTCTTGCTGATGCGGACGGTGTGCCAGGCGTTGAGCTGCAGCGGCCGGTCCCCGTGGACGGTGAGGGCGCCGGCGCCGATGTCCAGCACGAACTGTAATCAGGCATTGAGCGCTGACCTCTAGAGTTGGTCTTGCTGATGCGGACGGTGTGCCAGGCGTTGAGCTGCAGCGGCCGGTCCCCGTGGACGGTGAGGGCGCCGGCGCCGATGTCCAGCACGAACTGTAATCAGGCATTGAGCGCTGACCTCTAGAGTTGGTCTTGCTGATGCGGACGGTGTGCCAGGCGTTGAGCTGCAGCGGCCGGTCCCCGTGGACGGTGAGGGCGCCGGCGCCGATGTCCAGCACGAACTGTAATCAGGCATTGAGCGCTGACCTCTAGAGTTGGTCTTGCTGATGCGGACGGTGTGCCAGGCGTTGAGCTGCAGCGGCCGGTCCCCGTGGACGGTGAGGGCGCCGGCGCCGATGTCCAGCACGAACTGCGGAACTCCGTCCACCAGCTGCAGTGCCACGAAGTCGCCCGTGCGCTCGTTCTTGTCGCTGTTGTACAGGATCAATCCGTTGGCGTCTGCAAAACGGGTTTACGCAGTTTACTCATTGATCGACATCGAAAAGTATACAAGAGCGAGTCTGTTATAATTACATAGGTGAATTTAGGCTTGGATCGGAGTCTATATTTAACGTTAGCCGATTCGACAACGACGTATGCCGCAAAAGTATGACCACGATTTCTGACTACGCTATACACGTTTGTTTCTTATGTTTTAACACCACTCGTTGACCAAAACACTGTTTCGTTTTCTTTCAATAGATTAAACACCTCTATAGGAAACAAGGAGGGGGTAAGCTTGCGGCGAGTTCGCAGTGGTTTCGTGTTATTTAAGTTAATAATAATAATAATAAAGTAATAATAATCTTTATTTCTTCTACCACAATCTACAAATCCCATGACAACTTATTATACTATAATTCTTATATAAGAACAGTAAAATAGATTATGAGAGACTGGTGCCTGAACTAGGCAGAACTCCTGTGTCTCAGAGCACAAGGACTCTCCCTCCCCTGGAGAATGCATATTGAGCAAATTACAAGATCATCGATCTTACATATTAAGTTGTAGGTATAGGAAGAAAAGAAAAACATCTTAATTACAAAAGTGACACGACTACGCTCAAAATAAGAATAAGTACCTACAAGCTTTGATTAAAATCAAAGCCTACAAGTAACAACTCGCCTCAACGTTTCAACTATAACAAGTGTGTAAGCATATTTGCTACTTCAAATTTGAAAGAATGAGAGAGATAAGTTTAGGCTTTATTATCTATGGAAATACAATAAATTCTCAGTTTCTATTGTGGCGGCGACATCTACATGCCCCACATATATTCAACGGACGGAGGAAATCATCACTCACCATCCTCAAGAGATGGCGTTACCTGCACTGCGATCTTAATAGTAAGGAAGCCTACATCACGCAAACGAAATTCGGAGGCTAACTCTTCATATATACGATGCCCGACCAACATCAGTCGGGCCGCGGCCCCCGAGCTACCATCACCCAGCTCGGAGGAAGATCTTCCCCTTCGGCCTTCCTACACTATGTATGTTTTACAATCTGTGTAGTAGTAGTCGGTCGCGCTCACCGCTCGGCTTGAAGGAGAGCTCGATGTCGAACTGCTTGTAGGGGTCCTTGAGGGCGGGCAGCGCGATCCAGCCGTTGCCGTCGAAGCTGGGCACCACGCCCACCACCCGCAGCACGGCGCGCGTCTCCACCGACACGCGGCTGTTGCTCGCGCGGCACACGTACGTGCCCGCGTCCGACTCCGTGATGTGGTGCAGGCGCAGGTTCGGCTGAACACCGGATCGATAATATTATTATGCCCAAGCAGAGGAGCTAAGGCTTGTTTTAAGGTGCTTACTGATGTATCTGTAATGTCACTAGAATTGATTGCCATTCATGAAGCTATTAAATACTCTATTAATGAAGGTCTCTGCAAAATTGTTATGATGTCAGACAGCAAAAGTGCTATTCAACATCGTTGTGTGCAGTGTTGCCCAGGTCCGATTTTCAAAAATCGGGAAGCGTTATAGAAAAAAACAGTAGATGTATGCAAAGAGCTACAAGAAAAACAGTAGATGCATGACGTGGCATACTTGTCCGATGATTTGCACCCCCCCCCCCCCCTAGAATTGGAGATCAAATTTTTGGACAATTACATTTATTTTATAATTATTAAGGTTAGCTATATTATTAATGACGGAAAATGCAACTGAACCTGAAATTTAAAAAAGAAAATCGATATCTAAAAAAAACAGGAGATTCATGTAGAAAAATCCTGTAAAATCTGGAGACCTGGCAACACTGGTTGTGTGTCAAGCAAAATAAGGTGTGCCGGTTGCATAATATGACATACTTCAAAAACTTCACGAAATCAATTCTAGTGACAAAATTATTAAACTGCAATGGGTTCCTTCACGTATAGGTATTAACGGCAACGAAGAGGCTGACCGCTTAGCAAAAGAAGCATCTATTGAAGGTGAAAATGCATCTGTGAAACAATTTTATTCCGAATCGTTGTCAAAATATATAAAGAGTTGTTATCTTAACTGGAAAGAATATTTTGATGAAAGATCAAAAGAAAAAAGGAATATGGTATGAAACCATACAGAGTCAGCCTCTACGAATACCGTGGTTTATTAATTTAACATCAAGTCGACACTTTGTAGTGACCTTAAATAGACTTCGTTCTGGACATTATCCATGTAACAAGTTTGGACATCTTATAAAAAAAATTGAGTCTTCCAACTGTGAAGTATGCTGTGTTGTAGAAGATCTCCAGCACTTGTTGATGGATTGTGTCCGGTACCAGAATGAGAGACAAGAGTTTGTTAACAAATGTAAATTGAATATGTCAGACATTGGTGTGTTTCACAGCATTCTGGCCCAATCGGTCTCGGAAGAGGCTAGAATCCTGTATCGCTTTATATGTCTGCTGCGACTTTCTTCCGACAATAACATATTACGTTAATTGGCTTAGATGATTTGTTAATTTATATAAGTACACAATGGGACTGACATGTCTGTAAAGATAAAAGTCCTTTAAATAAAAAGAAAAATATTATTGTTAATAAAATTAGTTTGCCAATAATGGGTCTGGTAAGTAAGTGGTTCTCTGAACTTACGACCATATTAGGCAGTGTTCTCCCCTTTTAAATAATCATAGAGCATGATAGACTGTTGTGGTTGCTCTGGGATTGGGCAAATATTTGTGTTGTGTAGTAAATTCCGTATGTAGAAAATGTAAAAAAAAACTGTTTACTGTTTAGCCCATGATGAGGCCATCATTACAGTTATATTATATCCTAATACTTAAGCATATGTGTAATTAGTTTGTATTAATATAGCTGTGTTGATGGTCCATAAATAAATAAATAACAGCTCGTGAAATCGCTCGGGTGTCATCAACGAACATAACAATACCTTCAAGCTCAAAAGCGAAAACACCGAAAGTCAATTTTACTGGGGCGTGTTCAAATGACACGCGTCGATCACGCGCAGGAGCCGCACACGCGTTAAAGGCCCCATATACGGAACGATTCGTCGTTGCGATCGATCTGAAGGAAATCGTCAACGATCGATCGTTCAGAAATGCCACTACACACACGAAACACTGTCGATCGATCGTTTACGATATTCATGATTGCATGGGATTTGGTTGCGATTTGCGATATCGTCTTCGATTAAGTAAATCGTTAGCGATCTTGACATACACTGTCCATCCATCGTTTCGATCGGTCTTAAACGACGGATCGTACAGATCAATCGTACCGTATATGGGACACTGTCGATCGATCGTTTACGATATTCATGATTGCATGGGATTTGCGATATCGTCTTCGATTAAGTAAATCGTTAGCGATTTTCACATACACTGTCGATCCATCGTTTCGATCGGTCTGAAACGACGGATCGTACAGATCAATCGTTCCGTATATGGGCCCCTTTATGCTCGCCTTATTACATCCCCGCGCAAAATCAGCGCACGTCTCGGACCTGCATAAACTCTACTTCGTTCAGTAGACATATGTTCATAGACACTAGTCATTGTGCGGGCGAAAAGCGCGGGGTTGGCGCGAGGCGGGCTAATGGCGTGTACGGATGGACTTCGTTAAATCATATTTGAGATTTATTGATGCATTTGTTTCTTAGGTTTTCACGCACATCACTCATTAAATAAAACTAGTGTTAACACCATCTATCCTTCGAAGAGAGAAGCTGCAATCGGTCCATCATCATCGTCCGTTCATACATTCATTTCTTATCCATTGGTTACTACATTCACTCCTTTTGATTTATATAGATTCACTCACCCTCTTGCATTCGAATTCAAAAAAGACAACGTACGCACATCATTTTAATAAGATCTGTATTTTACTATGAATAATATTCTACAATCTGAATATCCGATTTTTATTGAGAAATCCACATATAGAAGTCACTAAGCTATCGAACAACTAGTTTTAACGGGTTAATGCACGAACTTTATTTATTTATTGAGGTTTTGCAACCATTCTGTGGAAGCAGACCTGAAAAGGCTGCGAAAAGTCAATAAATAAATAAAGTTTCGTGCATTAACCCGTTAAAACTAGTTTTATTTAATTTATTGATGTGTCATAAGACTCGTATTTTATACAACTACTTTCAAAGATAGTTGCTGCGCTCGCGGCGTGCGCTCAGCGGGCGCGTGTCGTCTGAACGCGCTCTAAAACCAATAAAACTATTTTTGAAATTAAACTTGTTTTCGGACGGGGTGTTAATGGAAAAATCCTTAAAGAAAATTAATCGGAAATGCGTCACGAGCGCCACACGACTATATATATACACCGTGTTCCTGAGGATATAGATTAACTTTGAATAATACTTCTATAGCTCTTGTTAAACATATCGTACAAGGAAAGTAGTAGTTTAAATAGCATAGTTTTTAAGTTATTGGTAATTTAATAATTTGGTATTAAGCTTAACCAACTTAATTGTGTTGTGCAGTGAGAAAGAGTATTTATCTGTGAGATGTTGCCACTTTGTGCAACCAAAACTATCAAACTATCAACTCTTTGTCAATGGTCATTAGGTCATAGTTTCAAAAGTCAAAATTTTAATAAACATTGTTGAAGTCAAGAAAAGTTTCAAAAAGTTTATGTGGACATGTGAATCAAAGTTTCAAATGCGACGTTGCCAGCTCAGGTAAAGGGTAATTCATATTAGATAAATTACATCTAAGCATTTAGTTTGTATGAAAATAAAAATGTTAAAGAAATTGGAATTCATAAAACTGTCCATAGTAAAAAAATGGGTGCGTGTACTTATGTAGGCGCGTGAGAAGTTATCCTTCTTTGGCATCGTTTAAAATTAGTTTTTAATTGCATGCAAATAATTAATTACAATAAATTAATAAGAAGTCTGGAAAAGGACGAAGTCAATAAAGTTCAGTTTTAATTAGAAAATAAATAAATAAATAATCAAAATATTCAATTAAAATCGCTACTGAATATAATTTATTAGAACATATGTGATTTGCACTTGTATGAAACTCAAACACGTATTCCGAATATACAAACTAGAAACATGTGGATAAATATTATAAATATGAATACCTATAACTGTTACTTTATTACAAAAAATAAAGATGTGGTTTTTGGTTCTACTACACCAATGGTCAAGAGATGGCGCTGTAGTCTCCTGAATCGCGCTTTGGTTCCGTTGTTCCAGATTAATAAATACTTTTTGTTACTTTATTACAAAAAATAAAGATGTGGTTTTTGGTTCTACTACACCAATGGTCAAGAGATGGCGCTGTAGTCTCCTGAATCGCGCTTTGGTTTCGTTGTTCCAGATTAATAAATACTTTTGATAGGCCTTCACAATGCAGTATTAGCTCCCACTAAATAGAGATTCTATTTCTATGTTGTTGGTAGATTTTCTTAATGTGCGGTAAACACAAAAGTAACGCATGAAGTTGGTCGCTAAAGCGACCAACTTCATTATGTTAAAATTTTGTGTTACAGTGATGCGCGCGCATCTTAAAATTTCACTCTCATCTCATCATTTTTTCATAACGCGCCTAAAGAAGTATAACTTCAAAAATATCAATTTAATAGTCTGAATAACATGCCAAAGTTAGTGTATGACCTCAGGAACACGGTGTATAGGGATGATGCGTGCGCTGCTTAGGTTATTTAAGAAAAGTTACACTTCACATGTGTGGTCCCTGCACACTATTTTTTTACAATGTTTTCAAAGTGATCATGAAAGCAGAACATTCAAAACATTGTAAATAATTTGTTTTTGGCTCTACTCCAAAATCATCTTTCATGGTTTACGCCTTCTGATCCTCAAGGATCCTCTCGCATACATCCATTCCGTCGCACAGTACACACAGAGAGGTTGTGGCTTATGCTGATGGCAATAGGGTCGATGTCTTACTGCAGGCACGGAGTGCAATGAAAATACGTGTGTCCTTTGAGATGATTTATTGAGCACTATTTTTGTATAAGCATGAGACGTCGTTTTATAACTCAACATGCCGCCCACCAAAGTACGACAGGACTTTTAAATAAATAAGGCATTTTACAAGTGTAACTAATTAATATAAAATAATCTTAAGTTTAGCATGCAACACCTTATGTTTAAGTATTGAGATCACCAAGTATACCAGTATAATAACATGTTCGTATCAAAATTTATCATCAAGAGAAAAGCTTTACTTAAGAAATTAGATTTCAAAATCACTCTTCTGTGACAGGTAATTTACACAATTTACTAACAGAACGTTTGACAATTTCATTTTTGCATT